TGAACCAGTTAACCTCAAACAATCGACCTGATATTTATAACGGGTATTATTAGGGTCTTGCATATAGGTATCACTTCAGCAACGTATAGGGGAATTTAGTGGAACTTTAAAATCATCGATATGTTTAGGAAATGTGTTTTTGAGAATCATAATTTGGCGAATAACTACATTTTCATTTTAATTTCATGACCCATGAATGTACCCATGTCGCCGAATTTTCAATTTGTGCTCTGCAGTATCTGATGCTTCTCTTAATATAAGCAAGGACATCCATATTACCCTGGATAAGAACATTACTCTCACTGACGTGATAATGGGAACGGAATATAGATTGACTCGGTACGGAGGCTGTAAAAAAAATCGCTTATGTCAAGTACACCTGAATTTCCTATGAACTTTGATCCTCACTACATACTATGAGAATTAGGAGACAAACAAATCTTTGACTGACTGACCTTTTTCCTAGTTTGAATTCGCTGAGGTTTAGCTGCTTCACAGCTGACGCTTCAGTGTTCAATATTTTCGAATTAAGTTCTTGCATTGTCTTCAGAAGATAATTTCCTAGGGTGCTATCAGAGCCCTTTTCAAAATTTTGTTTTTGTGCAAAAATTATGGTGGGTTAAAATGTTTACTATTTGTGTTCAACTTGTTAATTTTTTAAAAAGATCCAGTGGATAAAATAGAAAAAGTGAATTACAAGTGACATTCTGGTACATGCTACAAGATAAGGGATACAATGTAAATACATATTAAAAACATTCCAATAGAGCGAACCATGGAGTATCAGTGTGTATTCCATTAAAATTATCAAAATCCGTCTTTATTAATCTGAATGTCCAATATTTTATTGCACATTCACATACGCCTCCAAAATACGAAGATTGATATAATTCATACTATTTATAACTTTTTGATATAAATTTGTTGTCGAGCTATAAGCGATTCAGGTTAATCCGCCATTTTGAGAAATAGTGAATTTATATCTTGGCGCTATAAAACGGTGAAAAGAGCTTCAAAATAAGGCATTATGTGATCATTCTACATAAAAAAATGTTAAAATTTAGCACTCCCAGCAGTCATCTCGATATTTTCAACTGTTATTTTTACGTTTATGTTTCACTTTCACCACCCCAACATTCAGCTTACTAACTTAAACGCTTCAAAGAATAGATAAGAGGGGAATTTTTTGGAAAGCACTGAACGAGGGAAGTAAAAAACACATGAGATGCTGTTGGCATTTCTGTAAATAATGACGATGTTGCTGCATTTGTTTGTGAAAGGGCCACTTCTTCTTCCTAAAATAATGTTTCATAAATAACTAAAAGATATATTCGAACCCGTGCATACCAACCTGAAGTTGAATATCCATGACGTCTGCATGTGTTTGAAAATGCGTGGCAGTAACCTTGGTTTTATTTTGAGGCTAAAATAATACTACATAGTCATATAAAATGAAATTATAGTAGTACATATGAATTATAATATTTCTTTTGCTCAAATAAAAGCTAAAAATAATCCAAATTATTTTATTTCGGAACTTACATTCCGACTCCAAGAAAAGTATTTTTTTCCGGCGAGCAACCTTGATGAACATGCATACCAGGACAATCACACCAACAATACAACAACACAATATCGAGAAACATTAACAATACTAAATCATCACTTGATAAGTACCAAAATAGGGAACGATTTACATACGAGTCCGCCAATCGAAATCCGATTGTTACTATGTAAATTTAAAGTAGCGCCGACGACCGTCTAAGACCAGCCCACCGACGTTTCCTTTTCATCCCCCTATTACCTCAGGAGATGGTCCTCGAGATTGCAGTCGCTAAGAAGGGAAATAATATACATCAGTACAGATTGCATATTTATTTTAAGTTTTCAAACAAAAAACTATGTAGTCTCTTCTTCCCTCCCATTTCCTCTCTTTTTCCTGAGTCCTTGGTGGGCAATGGCGCCGTTGCCTGTCCTCCTGGATTTGCGCCTATTGGTTCATAATCTGGTTTTGCGACAGTAATGGGGTATTTTCCAACTTGGCGATATTGTCCTATTGATGGCTGAAATCGATTGTTTACACCATTTATCAATTGGTATACACTTTGCACGTTTCACAAAAGAGAAAACGCGTACTGCAAAAAGAGCAGCCACCAAAAAATTTTCGTTCGCTGCAGTTTTCATCGCGTTGCTTTCCCTCAGCGGGTGTACACATTCAAAACAGCAATCTATCTGACCAGATCTTTTTCTTGTAGGTAGATAGGAACCACACATTGTATGGGTTGGTACCATACGCTCTACTCTGCAGGAGAATGGCCGATCGTTATTGTTTCTGCGGTTTTACAAAAATAGACATGTTCGTAGATTTTATCAACGATACAATAAATAATTATGAAAACGGGATTGCCGGAATCTATGCAGCTCCAGTGCCTCCGCTATTATTTATTTTTACATTTATACATTCAGCTACTTGAAGATTACCTGTTGACAGTAGAATGGGTGTAAAGTATTGCAACTCATGCTCATTATTTATATTTTGAGGAAAGCTACATTTTCTAAGATATGTGCTGTTAAATATACTCTGAATAAATTGTTAAATCCTAAACTATGCTATTTCTATTTTTCTTCACTACTAGTTGAGTTCCTTTATTTTAAATGTTTGCTTGTTTGAGTAGATTCCGTGTAGGAAGCCTATCAGTTTGATCTGTGATGTTACACACAAATTATGAAATGAATCGGAAATATTTCATCAGTTGATGTGTATTTGCAAGAAAATACGGCATACTAATTTTTTGCAACCCGAAATTCTGATTGGTTTTATTTATTATGAATGGGAAGTCGCAAAAACGTCAGAATTCGTAAGGAAACTGTAATGTAACAGATCCATAGCATGACTCATTGGGTGGTATTAATAACGTTAAGCATCTGCTTTTTACTTGAAATTTTGGAGTACGTACTTCACTTGGTATGAATAAAATGATGAAGAAGGTGCTCAAGTAAGAATCACCTACTATTTTTGTAAGTATGTTCTTAAAAGTGAGTATCTGCTTAAGTTTCGGTATGAATAACAAGAAGCATGTGCTAACGAGATGAAGCAGCTACTCAAATAATTTTAAGTTATCTGGATAGGATGTTCAGCATCAGTAACAAACGTACTATCAGACGCGATGACTGAATTTATGCCTATTCATCGTGCCAGAAAGCATTATAAAGTTTGGAGAGTATCTCGGAATGTAGACTATCGGGTTTTACGAGTATATAGATTTAATAAGAACAACGTGGAATGGTTGGCTCAACATTTCTTAGGAGATGAGTTTGAAAACAGAGGTGGTGCTCTAACATCTACTGAGAAAATGAGAATTTTTCTTCGTTACGTTGGCGACCCGGGATTTCAAAGTGGCGTTGGTGAGGACATTGGTGTACCCCAAACAACGGTATCTGTAACAGTGGCAGCATTAATAGTATAGTATGAAAATCAAATGTATGGATAAAGTTTCCATCAACCGTAGAAGCATTGCAGCAAGAGAAATATAAATGGCAAGAAAAATACAATTTCCCTTCCGCTATCGGCGCAATTGATTGCACTCACATCCCTATTATTAAACCATCAGTACATGGAGATGAATATGTCAATAGAAATGGATTTTGTAGTCTTAACGTCCAGGCTAATTGCAACGTTCGAGAAGAGTTTACAAGTGTGGATGTATCTTGGCCGGGGGCCGTTCATGACTCGCGTATATGGAGAAATTCCGACATTGTTAACATTTTGCAGTGGAATAGAGCTAGTGCACTTCTCCTTGGAGATTCGGGTTATGGACTCACTCCATGGCTTATGACGCCATACACAGATCCTCTTACTCCAGAGCAGATTTCGTACACTAGGTCTTTCACACAGCGTTACCCTATACTGCAAACCAAACAGAATTTTAAGCTGCTTTATTTTGCATAATGTTGCAAAGCACCTCAACGAGGAAAATTTTGAAATCTTGCAAGATGTCAACAATAATGGTGATGAAGCTGTACAGATGCCTGTAGAATATGGTGAGGCAGTTATGCGCCAGAGAGGACAATTAAGAATAGACGAAATAGCAAGAATAATTCATGGTTTTCGTCATTAGTAGTTAAGTGGTATTTGTATATTATATATACAGGAAACTCTCATTAACAAGAAATTCTGAAAATCCAGTATTTACGTTTTGTAAAAAAGTAGTCTTGTAGAAATATAAATAATGTTTTTGATTTAGTTTGATTTATGTTAATATTTTATCACATACAGAAATCCTCGCTAAGAAATTATAATAGTATTTTTTTATTTTAGTTTCAAAAGCAAATTTTTACAAAATGATGCAACTAAGAAAAATTCGGAAAAGCATTTTTTTCCGTCTTTGCCAATTTGTGTGTTTTAGCGGACATTGCAATTTTGAATAAAAAATTATAAACATTTTTTAATTGGCGCGTTCGTTTTCATTCAATTGCTGGATCACGAATTAAAATAATCTGAAAATAAATTTCTTTTCCATTTTGAGGAAATTAAACGGTTCCGGCAAAGACTTATGTAGGGGTATTATGATTGGCATTTATTGGTCCAATTTCAACAATTAAAACAATTGTCGGGATAAATGTGTATTTTCAGTTGGATTATTATTTTAGTTCTTTTTTAAGCAATTGAGCGAAAACGGACGCACCAATTAAAAAATGTTACTATAATTTTTTGTTCAGAATTACAATATCCACTAAAATATTAAAAAGAAGTGCGGTGTTGCAATTTAAAAAAATATTACTTTGATGGCTACTGCACAAACTAGCAAGGCTGGAAAAAATATTTTCACGAATTGTTCTTGGTTGCATCATTCTGTAAAATTTGAATTTGGAAACTATGTATGTATCTACCTTTTTGAATAAAAGAAGGTAGCCTATGCCCGGTTTAAAAAAAACAACACTGTTTTTTTATATTATTATTGTATTTTTGGTTAACCTTCAACAACATAATGATCAAGTTATTAATAATTCTTTATTTCGTCTAAATTAAAAAAATTATGGATTTCTAGATTGCATGTAGTCGTTCGCTGTGCTTCTGATACTTCTTGACTATCGCAATTATCCTGCCGGCTATCCTGATCTTGTTTTTTCTGGAGTAGGATTTCCTTTGCAAGCCTAAAGACTTGCAGTTGTTCCAAAAGCACCAATCGTTGAAGTTCTTGTGTACTAAGGTGTCTAGTTTCATTTGTTTCTGGTAATTTTTCCTTTTGTTTTTGGTTTTTCAATGATGCTTCTTTTACAGGCCTGCGCACTGTAGAAGACGCCGCTGATGTTCCAGGCAGTGCAGAGCTGGAACTTGCATTCTCAAAAGACCCCGTAGCGGATGTTATAAAGGACCCATTTTCTTCTAGCTGACTTTCTTATTGTTCACAGTCAAGACTGACTTCTTCGGTCTCCGTCCTAGGCGCCCCTACACCAGCAAAAATTGCTCCTAAAAAGAATATGTATACTAAGTGACATATAAATCCGAACACCCAGTTTAAATGGTTTTATTTTAATAAAAGTTGGTGAATGTATTTATCTTACTGTAAATAACAAGTGAAAAAATTTTCAGCCTTATCAGTTGGACATTCCGGTTTTTATACTGATTTTTTTTTAATTCACTAACGCTCTAAAAATGAATATTTCAGCCGCAGTAAAGAATCAACGTTGGCGGATTTTGGTTCTTGACATCCTTTACGATCGGTTACGATGCCTAGAGTACGGAGACCTGTACGATTTCGTCAACTTAGTGAGTTTGATAGGGGCCGTATAGTGGGACTTCGGGAAGCTGGACTTTCTTTTCGGGCAATTGCAGTTAGAGTGCAAAGAAGTGTAGACACTGTGGTTAGGTGTTGTCAGGCATGGCTTCGAGAAGGCCGTACGCAAAGAGCAAGGGGCACTGGACGCCGCCGTAGAACAACAGACCGTGAAGATCGCCGCCTAAGATTATTGGCCTTAAGGGACCGTTTCTCCACTACCAGGTCCATTGCAAATGAATGGTTTGCAGAACACGGAAGACCTATTGGCATGCGAAATGTTTACCGACGAATGAAAGTTTTGGCTTGTTTTCATACCGGCCACACTGGGTCCTCCCTTTAACTCGAGAACACCGACGTAATCGCCTTGAGTGGTGCAGACAACGGTCACTCTGGGATCAGGAATGGAACAGTATTGTCTTTAGTGACGAGTCTCGATTTTGTTTAGGCATGCACGATGGTCGTGCCAGGGTTAGAAGGCGACGTGGTGAAAGGAGGAATCCACAGTTTTTTGTTGAAAGACCTGTTCATCACACTGTTGGAGTTATGGTTTGGGGTGCTATAGCTTATGGTTCCAGGTCACCTTTAATCTTCATCAGAGGTAACATGAACGCGCAGCGTTATATCCACGAAGTTCTAGAACCCCATCTTATACCCTGTCTTGACACCCTGGCAGATCCAACTTTCCAACAAGATAATGCCCGACCACATGTTGCAAGAGTCGCAATAGACTTCTTTCAACATAATGATGTCACATTGTTACCATGGCCACCAAGATCTCCCGACTTGTCCCCAATTGAGCACGTGTGGGATATGATGGGTAGGAGATTGCTCAATTTGCAACGTCCTCCTCAGACTCTAGAAGCACTTCGAGAGGAGTTGGTGGTTGCCTGGAATGAGATACCACAGGAGGACATTGACCACCTGATCAGAAGCATGCCTAGGCGCGTTGGAGAATGCGTAGCACATCAGGGTGCATCCACACATTATTAAAGGTCAAAGGGCTTTAAAGCAGTGCAATCATTTTGAAATTTTTATCATTTACTTATTATGCTTCATTAAGTACTTATACAAAATTTTATTAAAATAAAACCATTTAAACTGGGTATTCGGATTTATATGTCACTTAGTATATTTTTACCTGAATAAAACCTAAATATATCTGAAACATAGTACCTTTGCAGTATTAGGAGATACTTTAACAATTCTCGTATTACGTATTATATTATGATGAAACATAGGTATATTTTTTGCATTTAAGAGGGAATACGCCAAAAAATTTACGCTTGAAAATAAATGGAAAACATGACCAACTTTTGACTCAAATACTGACCCTATTCATCAATAGATTTTGATAAAACAAGATTTTGGAATCTTCAAACATCCGAAAGTGTACGAAAGTTAGTCATATTTAGTCAACTCTTAACTAATTTTAATGTAAAGACGTATAATCGAATTGTTATCCTATTTTTGCAATTTGTTTTGAATGACTTAAAATTATTCGTTTTAAATAAAAATAACTTTCGCACACCCGCAGAAATATCCACAAGGCCTTTATAGATTTTCTTATCTCAATCAGCTTTTTTAAAATTCGTGTTAGAAAATTCGTTACAATAAACATTTTTGCTCTGGCGCAACTCTCCTATACTCGTAGTTGTAAAAATTGCTAATTAAATACTATGAATTTTGCACACACTAGATTCACCTTTTACTCTCCTCTCATATATGTAAAGAATTTAGCTTCCCATCCTCTTAGTTAGATCTTCTTATTTCGTGTTTGATTTTTATTCTAGCCTTCAGATTGTTTAACTTTTTCCATATCTGTGCTTCACTCATTTCTATTTCCAATTGATCTGCTAGTCTACCTTTTATCTCCTCGATTGCATTTGCCTTTTTTTCTTTTAATCTCGGGTATGTTAGACTTTTCCAAAAGTACGGGAAATTTTTCAATAATACTAAAAAAGCTTAACATTTTCGCAAGTTTTCCCGTTGGCGTTGGTATCCTCTTCTGTATCCATTGTTGTAAAATATATTCACTGATAGGACCTAAGACAATCGCACTAAATATCGCGATGCGATAAAAAACCTGTCGAAACTCGCAAATATCCACAGCGCCAGCGGTATTATTTGGACCACGTACTCACAAGGCCGAAGCAGGTGCTCCATTTTTACATCAAAATTTTATTAATACCAAATGTAAGCACATGCTCACTTTTTTAGCATCTACTCAATTTCTTCTTAAGCACGCACTAAGAGCATGTACTCACGTTTTATTAATACCACCCATTGTGCTTATTCACCCTCTGTGCTCATGAAGTGACCCTACTTTTACCATATGTGGTTTTTTTTTACCTGATATTGACAGTCATCATGAAAACCTAGAACCTATTTAAGATACAGGGTGTCAAAGTTCGGTGCCTTAGCCCTGTGGTTACACATGCCTGCATCATTTTACGAAAACTCTTTTTAGCGTGTACCCAGGGCGTTTAACAATTTACTGTAGCGTTTTTCTGTGTTCTCTTGGGTGTGGATTAAAACACTCGATTACACAAAAAGAATTGCACTAATTTATTTAAAATACAACACAACTAACTTTAACTTAACTAGATAGACCATTTATGTACACCACTATTTATGTCTGGTCTGACTACTTTTTACGAAATACGAATTATTATGTCGCGCCATTCACTCAACTCTACTTCCGTCTCCCGGCCGTCGACTTATATAGTCCGCATCGCAGGTACTCGTTAATTCGAGGAAGTTCCGGTACGCCACATAGCGGCCAGTACAGAACCTTCGAGGCCAGTCTTCGAACTCGCAGGAGTCCCTGGCGCGGTTTTCATCAGATGGCGCTAGTAGTGGCGAAGGAGAGTCCCTGTCGCGGTTCTCAACAGATGGCGCTAGTAGTGTCGAAGGAGAGTCCCTATCGCGGTTATTCACAGATGGCGCTAATTATTCTTGTTACAATACGATTGGGATCTCAAACGGTCAAAAATACGACGTCGCGTCGGCTATATGAGGACAAAGGTGAGCATTCAGGTAACTAAAAAAATTACAGAAAACTTCGCAATTCACTATACATACATATAACCGGAGGGAGATAGAAAAAGCTTTATTCTCAAAAAATCCATGTCATGCATGTCAACATTTGATTGTAATTATCAAACCGGAAATAGGGTTTGTTGCCTAGCTCATAGAAACTGAACGAATGCTTGGCTGATGACAACTTCAAGGCCAACTTGGAATTTTTTTATACTAATATACAATGTATGACATCTTTTACATTTTTGGAAACAGAATTAAAAACTCTGTTCACCTGTGCAATAATCTAGAATGACGTCCATAAGAAAAAATAAAGTTGATAATTGAGGACAAGAGATTAAACGTCATGTTGGAATTGTAATTATGCCGCCATGAAGAGGAAAAAATTAAAATGTTAATGTGTAGGGTATTATGAAATCCCACCTCAAATAAGGTCAAGAAAATATAAAAACGATTTTGTGAAAATTCGTTTTTTATATACCTCTGGAGTAATGGTGAAATGGAAAACTTTAACCAAATGCCAATCTCTTAGTTAGATCCTGTATCACAAACAGAAAGCATTTCTGGGCTTTGCCGGAATAGATCATTTGATCAGCACAACATGAACTATCACTGTAAGAATTTTCATAAATTTTATCAGTGGTCAAATTCCATATTGTGCCTGGTACTTTGTGTGTATCTGGAATTTTTATTACCTGATTCCTCCAGCGGGAAATACAGAGAAAATAAATGACTCAGGTCCCACTATATTTTTCTCAAGTTGACCCCTCTGACAAAAGAAATTAGCTAGAAACATGTTTAACAAAAAATTAAATGGATCAAGTTAGTCAAACAGTCTCATACAATTAAATTTTGTTTTTTTAGGACTTGCAACCCCCTCTTTATTCCACCTCACGCTCTTCAAAAAATTTTGGAGGTAGGTACGCTTTCACTCAGTTATCTCCTATCGATGAATAAAACCCCTAAGAAAAATGCCTGCGAGCGTACATGATCACTGCTCTGACTAATCCTGCGAGGATGGAGATTGATAGCCACAATCCGTAGCAGTACAGCAACCAGTGTTGCCCAATCTACCGATTTTTCGGTATGCCTACCGAAATGAGACATTTACCGAAAATAATCCAAATATATTTCCAGATTTATTACCGAAAGAGCTGGAATAAAAAATAGAACGTATATACGCACATCTCTTAATCCGCTTCTCCCACTTTAGTCATAATGATATGTATTCTGCAATGATTTCTGTGCATACGGCAGGTAAACACTGATAGATCAGCGTCATTACCACATCATCGGATAAGCAGCAAGGAGACCAAGCTTGTCTGTTTTTAATTATATATTGAATTGGAATATATGATGAAGCTTCAAGGTCTGGGGTAAAACGGAAAAAATATTCACAATCGTATAAACACGAATTTGAAAAGGAGTTGCCAGAATGGTTGCAAGGGAGTTTGAAGGACAACCAGTATGCTAATTGTACTAGTTCATTATACATAAAAGAGTTGAGCAAAGATATAAACTCTAAACAAATATAAGAAATTAAACATAGAAAAAATAAAGAACATGTCAAAAGCCAACTAGAGTTCGTCGCGCATCTACCTGTTGAAACGATTCTTGAACCAGTTAACTGTGGATGCATTAACAACGTCGTAGGGCAGCCTGTTCCACATATCAAACACTCGGTTAGGCAGGAAAAATTGGCGGAGTGTAGTTCTAAACTTCTCTTTTATTAGTTTGTAGTTGTGGACTCTCAGGTGGTTGGCGTGTTGCAATGGAAAAGTAAGGACATGTCAGTGCCGAAGAAACCATGCAAAGCTCTGTAAGTGACTATCAAGTCCCCTCGTAAGCGTCTATCGGAGAAGTGAGTTAAGCTGAATAGGTTCAGCCTCTCTTCATAACAAACCCGTCGGATACCGTACGGGATGCGTGTAGCCCTCCTCTGAATATTCCCCAGCAGGTTTCGGTCACGTTGTAGCGTTGGATACCAAACAAGTCCAGCAAATTCCATAATTTCTCTCACATGAGCTCAGCAGTAGAATTGTCACAGTCCTTAAAGGATATTTCAATAAGGTATAGACTTCTTTTGGCCTTAGCCGTTGAGTATTGAATACGCTCGGACTATGATAGACTATCAGATACAACTCCTGATCTAGCTGATCTTTCCAAGGTGTAGAACACAGCACTTCTCCAAGTTGAGGGGCAGCAGCCATCTTCTGGACCATTCATAAGCATTGTCAAGGAGCAGGTGGAAGATTTGGACCCTGTGGAACGGCGCTAGTCAGCATCCTACTGGTTGACAGTGAATCGCCTACCCTCAACTTGAACGCTCTGTTACTAAGTAAAGCCCTTATCAATTTCAACAGGTTTCCAGTTATTCCCAGGCGTTCCAGCTTGTAGAGAAGGTGTGCGTGGGGCACTCGATCGAATGCTCTTGAACCCAGGTATATTACATCTACAGGCATGTTGATATCTATCGTCTTCGTCCAGTCGTTGACACATATTAGCAGGTTTGTGATGATAGTGCGACCTGGCAAGAAACCACGTTGATTGTCTGGCAAGATATTTTCCGTAGCAAACTTGAGCATTTCACAAAGTACCTATGATTTTTTCGGCTACTTTAGCAATTATGGGAATGACACCGATGGGACGAGTTCTTTGCATTGTACTTATCACTTTTCTTGACAATTGGCGTAACTGTTGCTTTCAGCCAGCATTGAGGTAGAGAATGAGAAGTGAATGAGGAGGAAAATATCATACTTAAAGGCTAGGCAAGAGTAGAGGCACACCTTTTGAGGGTCATTGCTGAAATACTGTCACCGCCTGGCGCAGGACGGCAATTCAGAGTGATGAGAAAATCTTGAATCATGTCAGAAGTGAACTCAATTTGACATAGGTTGATGTGTGGTCTAGGATAGGTATTAGAAGGTGTACCAGCACTGTCCAGAGAAAAGCCTTCAGTGAAAGCATTTGCCAATACTTCTGCTGATGACGCATCGTCTCTGCAGATGTGACTATCTAGGTCTCGCACCTTGGGTGTAGAAACTTTTGAGTTTAGTGAAGATCTAACTTCTTATCTTACTAGAATAAATACATCTGAACTAAAAAAGAAATTAATTATATTCACGGTACACACAGTACAAAAAGACACAAAAATCACAATTGGATCCTATAATATCTCTAAAATAGTAATAAGTTAATCGGTGGCATCAGCCTTGGAGACGCTAAAAGGTTCATCGACCTTTTCTGCGCCAGCATCTACGATAACAACATCCTTCTCAGGCTTGTCTCTGCTGTCAGTCCTCGTGTTTTCGATTTTCCTTACTACGTCCATTCCGGATATCACCTTGAAAATTAAAAATGAATTATTTTTAGTCATATTACAGGATAGTTTCACAAAAGATATGCATTACATTGAAAAATTATACAGCTAAATCACTATATAGAAAAACTGTTCTTCATGGGATATAAATTCTTGAAAACGAGGGATTAGTATGATTGATAGCAAGTGCGCGTGGTTCCATTACCTTTCGGAGAACTATATTATTAAACCCTTGGCAGTCTAATGAACTTCTAGGATGACCAATTCATAGTCAACTTACTTGGTTCCTGATGGTATGCTGTTACCACGATATCCGATAATTAATGACTGCCTAAGATTTAGGCTTTTTATCGACAACAAATTATGGCCAACAGAATAGCTCAGCTGAGAGGGTAGGAACAACAAGTATAATAACACGCACCTTATGGAAACGTTCAACTAGCGATAAGCGATTTGTACCAAACACAATAAAGGTTTTTTTAGTGAATATCATGGAATAATAGGACGTTTCAGATGCTCACATATTTGAAGCTACAAAATGCTATCATAATTCATTTCTATCTCAGTGTAATATGTATGTAAAAATCTGAACCTCCATGTTCTCCATATACTGATGTATCATAAATTTTCGCAAGTTTCCTGTAAAGGTCACATCCTCCAGGACAGGATAAAAACCATAGATACACAGTATGCTGGACCAAGTATTGCACCATAGGGAGTGTAAATGGCAAGCTTGGTGTGGTGGTACTTGGTGAAAATATGTGATTTTGCCAATGAGGGATAGGGGACGAGTTATAGGTCTAATCTCTTCATCAAGTAGGCATCATAAGCTAGTGTTTTCATTACACTGCTATGATAAGCAGCATCCGTTTCACGTAACTTAAAAAGTGGCAGTATATCATGTCACAAATGTCACCCTGGAACTAGCTCTCACTCACTTCAGGTTCACTTTTACATGCTGTGCATGTTGCCTAAACGTCATGAGACTGGAGCTATATAGTTTGGCTCTGGTGTGATGTAACATCTGCTTCAGAGATGGGACTAGTAGGGGTCATTTACAGCTTCTATGGCTTTTTTAGACAGAGGAAAGGTGGTTATAAAGGCTCTCAGGCAGGTAAGCTCAACAGATCCTTATCAGCCTTTCCTGCCCAAAATGTGAGGTTCTCCATCTCACGACGGAAGCGCAATACAGCATTTCGTCAGGGTGGGTAGCCACGCGCGAAAATGATATATTTGATAAACCTTAAAACAAACGTCAAAAGCTGTCAGAAAGGTAACAGACCCTTCTACTAAAATAATATGAAATATTGTGATGTCAAAATCCTTTAATACTACCATTGTCTTCATGGTCCCTTGCCAATCATCTTAACTTAAATGCAGACAAGTGCTTTGTTGTGTCTTTCACAAGGAAATTAAACATCTTAAATTTTAACTACTACCTTGGACACGTTAGCCTTAAGCGTTAAGAGCAAATCGATGACTTAGGTATCATATTTGATCAAAAAATGTCAAATTTCAACTCATATCGACACAACTGTTTCGTCGGCTAATAAGATGTTGCGATTTATCATGAGGAATGCTAGAGAATTTTCTATTTCAGTACTAAATATTCTATATATAAGTTATGTATGTAGCAAGGTATGGTATCTTGATTTGGTACCCACAATGCGCAACACACATTAGTAAGATAGAAGGTGTTCAGAGAAAATTTTTGAAATATATGCATTTTAAGAAAACTGGTTTATTCCGGGAAAGAGGATTTGATTACTCTTTGCTGCTTAATGAAGCAAACTTTATTTCTCTTAATACACGACGTATTTTTCTAACGAGTTTCTTGTACAAACTCATTCATGGGGACATAATGTGTGAATTTATGTTAGGTAAATTTCCATTAACCGTGCCCAGATGCAACATCAAAAATTCTAGAGCATTTTATTGTGAATGCCCTAGAACCAACATTTTAGCTAAGTCACCTATTTAAATAATTTGTAACAATTTTAATTTGATATGTAACAGCTGTGACATCAATTTTTCCGTTCTATTTTGCAGATCACATTTAATATGTAACTTTTTCGAAATATATTCAAGTGTTTATTTTTATATAACATTAGTTATATTTTTTCTTTTACATAAAACGAAAAATTCATTTGATTTTACACATTTCCTGTTATTGGGTGCACATGTACCTGTTAGAAACAAATGTCTATATCTATCTATCTATCTATCTATGTGTCGTCTGTGACAGGGTATTAAAATCATGAAATTATATTCAGTTCATACATATTTTGAATGTATCAGTTTCGTTATTCTCGTTGCAGTAACTTCAATACGAATTGCTTTGACAGCCTGGCCTAATAGAATATCTGCTATAGCAAATCATGAATCGAGTGATTATATCACTATTTCAAATTCTCTATATACATTTACACATATATCTCTGAAAATAGTAATGACAAGAAATTTCGGTATTATTGATTGTTTTCAACTTGAAAAGTGCAATTGTAAGATCAAAAATCATAGCCCTTTTCTGTTTGTAATCAATTTATGCTTACCTTTCCGAACACAACGTGTCTGCCATCCAACCAAGTTGTCTGTTTTGTGGTGACGAAGAACTGAGATCCATTCGTGTCCTTACCAGCATTTGCCATAGACAGCCAACCAGCTCCATAGTGCTTTAGCTTGAAGTTTTCGTCTTCAAAACGGTCGCCGTAGATGCTCTTCCCTGTAATGTACAACCTACATCAACAAGTGTCATTCATCTACAAGCCATCTGATAAGGCATGATACTCACAAAAGGGATCTGACCTTGCAAGTGACACATCCATCATACTACTTTAATGGATATAGGATTTATGTGACATGACTTGAATTAACATTGGATCTCTTGTTATTGTCAAACTAATGACTTACTACTTAAATTATCATAGACCACACTTAAATTATCATAGACCATACTTCAACACTTTGCTGAGGCCCTGCCTTACTTTCACAATTCATGGTAATTGTGTCATAGGTAGTAAATACAAAAACTATCTACCATACTCCTTATTATGTTTTTTTTATAAACTAAAAATAAATCAGACTAATTGTGCAAAAGTGCAAAAACCTAGTTAAGTCCCAAAATATGGATTTTTCGGAAGACAATAAAAACTGTGTCACCTATAAATAAATCTTTACAATTTATTATGAGAAAAAACCTGAACAACTGTTACAGGCTTACTTGTGCTAGCAGGAAATAGGGTAAATGATATACAGGGTGACTTCGAAGTTGAGTCATTTATTTTAACAGTGAGTAGATCTGATCAAAAGAAATGTTTTTTTCCTTTACCATTTTTCTGGTAAAATTAAAGTAACAAAGTTATAGCCCTTTGGAAGTTTGAGTACCGCCCTGTCTCAATAATAATATCATGTACTCGTGTTTGGCAACAACGGATATAATCCACCTTATCGGTTCATCGCATCGGAAACAAAAAAGCGAAAGAATTTGGAACGATGTTTTTATTTCATTCAGTTCAGTTATACATACAGTCAGTGTCAGTCGCGTGTGAATAGTGTCTGTTGCGTGGCTCAAACGAAATAAAAAATGGCACATGTTTATGCGGATCGGTTTCCCAATCGAGTGCAACCAACCCCTCGTGCCTTTGCTAATGTAGTACAACGGGCTCGTGAATCAGGTGACTTCAGACCTCACAGGGCACCTCACGATCAAATACAGGTCCGCACTGAAATACTTGTCGGGAGGATACTTTATAAAACAAGGTAAAAATTTTTATTTATTTTTTTTTATTTTTACACACATATTTTGGTTTATCTTCCTTCTACAATCATTATCTGAAAATTAATGACTCAACTTCAAAGTCACCCTGTATAGCTTAAGCAAAAGAATCATTTCAATCATATCAAAAATAACAATTAAAAATTGACTTATTAACATGACAGACGTTTTTATTTTGCATGTAGTTCAAAGTTCAGTAAAGTCATTGATTCACAAAGCTCTATCCCCATGAATATTACTTTTATTAGATATTATTTTTATTATACAAACAAGAAGAAAAGGAAAGATTTGAAAGTTTTCCACAGTCACCTGGCTTTTAGATATCAATATAGAATAACACAGAACTTCAAAAGATTAGATTCTAATCTTCAATATTTTGATATGCATTCAGAGTAAAGTACTTGTAACAGTCCTACTAAGCTGCCATGAAGATTAGGCAACAGTTCTAAAATGCAAAAATATGTGACTTGATGTATACCACACCTATATATTCAAATCAATCAATAGAATTTGCATTTCTGCGACAACTTAACATCAACACCACAGTAATATATTGCAAGCTTACAATACCAAAATTATTTTTGTACTTTAAAAATAATAGAAAACATGTATTGAGGAACAAACATGTTATATAAAAAAAACCCTATGTACTCAGCCTAGAACATAATGTACTATGTTCATAATAGGATTTTAATTCAGTACTCTGAAATTGCTAATGAAAATGTGTTATCTACATAAATGTCATGAGGAAATTTACATTTTGTGCATAACTGTTGATAGTTATTGTCTGTTTCTTATGTGAGATACATACAAAAGACCTTAACTACAATTTCTGTGGAACTATTACCATTAGATTTGCCATACTCAATTCACTTTGATGGAAAAAATCGTATATCTCAACCCTATTCCTTGATTCAGGGATTAAACTGAGAAACATTGCTTTGACACCATAAGAAGAAAAGGTCCAAGGGTGGATCTAGTGGTGATTGTAGATAACATCGTTTGACACAAAGCCCTCTCGATAACTTGTGGGCTCAAAATTATGACAACATCAGGAAAACCTATCTATTACATACACACATATATATGTTACACTGTAATAGATAGAACAGAATTTATGCTGCTACAAGGTTTACTAGATTTATACCCAATCCAGTATTGCCAACATTGCAGACTAACAGAAAAATTAAACTTGCTGATCAGCTGTTCACCTCGGTAAACATCAAAATGTGATGGATACTCGTGAAATAGGGTATATATTCACCCATTTCTCTTTTGTAACTATGGATGAAGGAATAAAGGATTTGTTTGACGTCAAATTCCTGTTTTACACTTCTGAAATTTGGCCATGAACTCAATTCATCGAGAAATCTGTGGATTTATTGTCAATGTAAAATGGGTATTATTATTATTGGCACTTTGCATTGAGAACATAAAAAAATTATTTGACTAAGCAGACCATTCAACCAGAAGATTTTCTCAAAGACAGTAAAAGCTGTGGTTCAGTAAAAGTAATCATTCAAACATTCATATGGACAAAGCTCTTAAATTAGATTTTGAATAAGAAAAATAATACATTTCAGAAAAATAAATGGAAAAAGGTATTTGGCATCTTTCTAGACTTTTGTTTTCATGTTTTTTTGTGTGGCGTATATCAACCGAGTTGAATGAACCTGCTTACCTCCTGTACCATCTCCCTTTGTGAAATCTCCACCTTGAATCATAAAGTCCTTGATGACCCTGTGGAATTTACTGCCTTTGTAGCCCTGTCCTTCAGGCCTCTTTGCCAACTCGACAAAGTTTTGCACAGTCTTTGGCACCGTCTTTCCGAACAGGCCGATGACAACACGACCGACTGCCTCGTCACCAATTTTGATGTCGAACCATACCTTTTTGCAAACGGAAAAAATGAACTTGAAGCAAAGTTATTTTGGAAATTAGCTGTTGCTTACCTTGTCGGTTACTTTGGGCCCTTTTTTGTCATCAGCGGCGGCTGATGAAGAAAATACCGCCACAAAGACGGATAAAATAAGCAGAGATTTCATTGTTTGATTCCGCACTTCTCCCGTTAACCTCTCTTGTCTCTTTTACGAATGAAGTGACAGTACAGAGTACGAGAAAACGAAAATGACCGAGATGGGAACTCCATGATGATGGTGTGTCGAGACGTGGGAGGAAGAGAGATAAGGTGATTGAAGTCATCTTTGATCTTCTTCTAATAAACCATGCAAACATACGCCAGAGTGAGAAAGAATAATAATTTTGCAACTGTGGGTGCAAATGCATGGTTGCCACTAAGCGAGTTTTGTTCGAATTGTTGCCACTTTTTTTGATGATATTTTGACTAAAAGAGTAGCGCCAGCCTAGGAGCTTTTGCTTTTTTGCTATATCGATTCCTTCCTACAGAATTCGCAGCGATGAAAGAATGATGCATGGGATCACGGAATATACCGTGTAAATTCTCACATATGGTACTCGGGTACCGAAAACGAAGAGAGCAGCGGAGCACATGGCACGCTACTTCCAGCGCGGCATTTTTCTTAAATATGGCGAGATATGAGCGCACCGACTTGTCGGTTAAAAGGCACGCTGCCACAGCAGTGGTGTGCGATGTGCTTTGCTGCTATTTTCAATGTCGGTACCAGAGTGTAGCACCCTTTATTAAGACAACAAAACTGCGATTCGTATTTGATGAAACGTAAGATTCGCACTATGATTTTTGTATGGCTTTTTTAGGTTTTTACCTAATACCGGTGTCGATGGGTCTTGAAACATATACAGAAGAAAATAGAAAAAGGTTATTACGCAACCATGTTACGCAACTGTCTTTTTTCACGTCTGTTGGATTTTCCCATACGTTATACAATTTTACATAAATCGCCGCTCGAGAAATTTTTGTTAGGCTACTCTATTTGGAGAAGAATTGGTTTGAATATTTTAAGTGAAATCCGTATATAAAACAGATCTACTCTGAAAAGTAAAGTTTGAAATTGAAAAGTGTATGCAGGCTCTCACCATAGTGTTATTTGAAGAATATTCAAGTTTTGTCTCTATTCAGTCTCATCGGTCGATGACGTAGAAACTTCCAAGACCCTTTATTATCTGCATTTATGGGACATTTTTTTATTTTTGGCTATACCTTCTGCTCTGGAAATATTGTAAATGTTTTTCAATCACCGATGTATTCCCTAGCTAGCATAACCGAAACATCTCAGTGACCATGCTGGTGAAATGCGGTTCCACTCAATACTACTCTACATTTGGCAACATCGGCAAATCAGTAGACCAATCGACGAAGGCCACGGGTAGCCACGGTTGGAAGGAAGGAGATAGGAGATGTGAATACTTGGGACAATCTGGAATATTTGAATTTAGACCGGGAGGTGTGGGCAAAAATGGGGGGGTCATGTGATACAGCAGGAAACCTACTCAGAACGATAGTACTACATGAAAAAATAACTTCTAGCACTATGCCGTCACTTGAGAGCGGTACATGTAAGTACAGGGGAAAATTGAATTTTCAGTCCAGAAGGGGTCGGAAAAGTCTAAATGATTTTTTACGGCTTTCTTTAGTATCACAGATGCCAACAAAATTTTAAATGTAAAAAATTACAGAAAGGTAACTGTAACAATGCCGTACGTTAATTAATTAATTTTTCTGCATAGAAAATTTCCTGAAAATTCAAAATTTTTTATGGCTTCCGGCACCATTATTTCCGTTCGGCACTAAGTGCATCGTGATTATTTTGTTGGCATCTGTGATACTAAAGAAAGCCGTAAAAAATTATTTAGTCTTTTCCGACCCCTTCTGGACAGAAAATTCAATTTTTCCCTGCACTTACATGTACCGCTCTCAAGTGACGTCATGGTGCTAGAAGTTATTTTTCATGTAGTACTATCGGTCTGAGTAGGTTTCCTGCTGTATCATGACCCCCCTATTTTTGCCCCCAGCTCCCGGTCTAATTTGGAGTCGCACAGATCCGGTGGAATAGGCTCCGATAACCTAAATCATACACAATAATTTATCATTTTAAGTTTATATCTTCACTTTCCTTAAACATTATTTACATTATATGTTACAGCGCTGTTCAACAAATAGTGCACAATTGCCGCACATATCCATTTTGAATTGGCAAAAGATTTCCATACCAAATTTTTGTCATTGATAAATATTTCTTCGTCTACTTCATCAGGTTTTCTCGGAAAAAGATGAAAAAACACCCAGTTTTCGTGAGCCAGCTTGTCAATTTGAGTTTTCATTATCATAGGAATATCGACCTTCACTGGATTATTTATCGAAACTACGTTGGCGTCTACAATTAAAAGATGAATATTATATTATTTTTAACGAATTCAACATTTCATAGATTTCAACACGTGTAATAAAAGTTTCAAACTTAACCCTTTGTACCCTATTGTAATCAGCAGACTTTGAAATATAGCTATACATACCTGTTTTCATTATATAGGATTTTAATAATGCCTATTTGCAGCATATCCAAATAACCCGGTATTTTTTTAATAAGCCAGATTATCAGATAAGCACATAAAAGTTATTTTTTGCAACTGAGTCTAATAAAAAATATTTAAGCTAATAATAAATTTCGCAGAAGACACATTTACCTCATTCGTATTTTTTCATATTGACTACTATATGCTAAGCTTAAAAGCTGGTCTCACCTGAAAGTGCTTGTTCCAAACTAGCAGCTTCATGTATTTTGGCCGTATACTGAGGAATGTCAGTATCCTGAAGCTCCTTGAGGTTTGAGGGAGTAAGTGGTTCGCCACCGCATCGACAGAGGTAGTTAACATCAATTCCTAGAAGAGGGGCCACTGCCAAGCAAGTGTTCAATGCAGGGCAAGCTGAGCCTATCCATGCGTACTTAAGGCCGTTCAGGTACCCGAAATGCTCTCGTAGTGTCATTAAGTCGGAGAGGATGTGCAGCAAAATAGACCGACATGAGCTTTGTTTGACAGTGAAGAAAAACAGATTTGTAGGGTTAATGCCTTTGTCCATTGTACCTTGTCATACTAGGATTCTATCCACTACAGCAGCCTATAAACCGCGTTCTAAATTCATCAGCGGCGAAGTGCATAGTGGGGGGGAACTAAAGCGATCATTCTGCACGTGGTGAACAAAAAGAGAAACATCGTCTGCCTAATAGTAGAATATATGTGGTGAAATTTGTTGCATGTCGGATCAACTTTATTTTTATATTCCACCTGTCAAGTACGTGTACAAATATGTTTGTCCGACATCGGCTAGGTCGTGCAGTCATCATGCAACCTGCAAATAGTAAGCACAGCGCAGGTATGTCATGCGATTGATATCATCTGATAAGGATAATAAAGCTTTTCTTTTATTTTACCTGCCATTCCCCTAGCAAGTAATTCTTGATAAAGCTTTTCTTTTATTTTACCTGCCATTCCCCTAGCAAGTAATTCTTAAAGTACAGAATTTTGCGTCAAAAACTCTTATTGCGCTGAAATTCAACCTATCTTACCCATTTTACGAATATCTCATATTGTATTGATCAACTGGGCGGTCAAAAACACAAACTGTACTTTTTCTCAAGAAAAGGAAACGAAACGCTCCGTATATTTTTGCATTTTCTAATTTCATTTAGTTAGTATTTATGAAAATGAAGCACTTGTTTTCAAGTAAAAGGTTGGAGGAAAAGGTTTTACTTCAATCCGTATTCATAATCTGTACCTTTTCCTTGCATGGAAATGCTTTAAATATATATATCACACCCACTGTCCACTAAGAGGGAACCGTTTCTTGCACTTTGCTGTATATACAACAGAGAACACTTATGAAACTGCTATATGACTTTCGTGATGCAACATTGTTCCTTCTATGATCCTTATTAGTGACATATGTGATATATAGCAACGGCAGGTCAATACTATAATTTGAAATGATACTGTGATATATTATAACTTGATTTGTGGCACCATTGTAACACAGAGATAGGTCACACCATAGGATATTTCTGCAACTACTCTATAAAATTGCATGTTGCAACACCGTTCCTTTTATCATTCTTATTTGTGATATACACTATGTCACATAGCTTGGTTACGTGTGAATTATTAACAGCTTAGCAACTATCCGACAAAAGCCATAAGTCTATTAGATCAATGTTCTTTTAAAAGGACGAATTCAAACATGAAAAAAATATTTAAAAAATGCTACCTTGATGTGTGGTTCAATAACAGGATATCATGTATAACTGAGTCAGAGAGAGAGAAAACAATCGGTATTTTTTTTCAAAAAGTCCTAGTTTTGTAGCCAGATACCATCCATGCATGATTGGGTCGACCACTACGGTAAGGAAATTACAATATTTAGTAATGAAAATCAGTTTTATGAACCGAACAGATTATGATGAAAAAATCAGCAGGTTACAACTTTTGTTTTGAAGCAGCAAATTTTAAAAAACATCGAAAAGCCGTTAACGGAAAACAATATTCCTATAGAAATTGTCAGCCAGATATTGATAGTATTTTTAGGATCTTTTAAGTATCAGGGTTGTTATGTTTTAATCAGAATGTTTAAAACAATGAAGGTGTTTTAAACCAATTTGTTTTAAACTGCTTAAAACATGTTTTAAACACTGTTCTTTTGTCGTTTGAAGATTATTCAAGTTTTTTTTTTATTTTTTTAAGAATGATTAAAATTGATTTTATTTTGCATAACGAAACTAAAAGAGCCATAGGTTAAAACTAACTAAAAAATATACTTTATTTTTTATCAATCAATCAAACATGAAAAATGTTTCTTAACGAACGAGTGAACTTAATAAACTGCCATAAACTCTAATACCAGTATAACACAAGCAGCAGAATAATCATATAATATGACTATGTATTTACTTGTGTAATAACATCAAATAAAGTTACTTAAAAAATTTCTATAAAAGTATACAACCCTTCTTATTTAACAAAAAGTCCTTAAATCCATATTTTTAAAATATAAAATCATTGAATATCGAGTAAATTTTTAATTTTCACTACTTTTTACGGAACTCCAAGTAAAAAATGTACCTGTTTCACAATTCTCCAAGCTACTTAACTTTCAGGAAATAGGTTCGGTAGAAACATCATTATTGTCGGAACTATCTAATATATGAATATTTTGTTTTTCTAACAAACTTCTTTGTATAAGTTATTTTCAATGTTTAATATGCTTGCGCATTCTAGCCACCAAGGGCACTATATCCATATTGCAGGTTAAACATATTGCTGCTTTATTTATTTTCGAGCCAGCTTTGGCATAAGTCTCCTTAAAATATTTACCACACGGGATCCTTTCTCCTCCCTGTCATTGCCTTTCTTTTTTTGCCGCTACGACTTCGCACATTTGACTGCTGGAGATCGCAACGCGAAAAATTACCCAAAAGCAAACGGTACTTTCCCGACGTCCGCACGGTAGTTTCCCGACGTCCGCACGGTAGTTTCCCGATGTCCGCTTTTAAATTAGAGATGTGCTGTGATAGAGCTGGATCAAAAATAGTAATAACACTTTCAAGGAACTTCATTAACGTTGCTAGATTATATAGGCAATAGTTTTTAAATTTTTTTACTGTTTTAAACATGTTTTTTTCAGCTAAATTTGAATGTTTTAAACAAATGAAACATGATTTTAATTTTTTTTAAAAACATGTTTTCAGCCCTGATAAGTATACAATAAGATAACCATTATAACTGGAATTTCATTCAGTTACGATTTCGAGTGAAACTTGTCTACCTTTCAGCCACCCTTGTTTCTTAGTGGATTTATATGCCAGCATGATACAAAACTATAAAAAAATCCGTTTCTCGCCAGACTGGTACATATCGATATTCTTGTTATGCACGGTGTCCTGAACACCTAAAATAGAAGCCCCAGCTCCTTCAGAAAACATCCATATCAAACCGTATGTCGGCTGGAGAGCAACTCTAATTCTTCAACATAAATCTGAGGTTAAAACATTAAATATAAAAATCTCTACTTGTACGAGAATTAATATAATTTATAATGGACTGAAAATTTACATTCACCTTCCTGATGCTACAGGCACAAAGGACGGATGTTTTTGAAATGGCTAGTAGTCTCCGCCTATTCGGGCGAGAGTGGCGAGGAGAGTGCCGTTCGACTCGGGCGTTCCTAGCATTTCTACCAGTAGACATTATAGAGCAGTAGAAGGTTGAGTACCGCGTTTTGGCGTACGATAGTTTTGTCCAACATAATTAGTTTACCACGGCTGTACAGCGTGAGTTTCGTCGCCACTTCAATACTTATCGAAATCGAACTGTTTCTTCTCGAAACATCATCCTTTGCTGGATTCAATCATTTACTGGTGTACTGATCAACACAAGACCACCAGGAGATCCACGAGGAGATCCTCCTTCGCAGTCCGGCTCGATCTGCTCGGCATCATGCTGGTGAACTTCGCTTCAGTTCGGTAAGGCGTATTTTGCATATGGAACTTCACTTTCACCCCCACAAATTGGCCATTGCACAACAGTTACAGCTTGGAGATTACGCACAACGAATGAACTTCGCACATTAGATGGAAGCACTTATCGAGCAAAATGAGAACCTCATTTTGTTCACGAGTGATGAAGCTCACCTTCATCTTAATGGTATGGTAAACCACCAAAATTGCCGTTATTGGGCTAATGAAAATCCGCGACAGTTACATGAAAGACACCTGAACACCACAAAAGTGACGGTTTGGCGCGCGGTGTATCGCAAACTTGCATCATCGGCCCTTACTTCTTCGAAGACGGTAATGGCAATGCTGTTACCGTGATCTCGGAGCGCTATGTCGAAATGATCCATTCCAAAGTGTGTGGTTCCAACAGGACGGGGCTGCCGCCCACACAGCCAGAACAACGATGAACGTTATTCGCCCTCTCTTCCGTGGTCGCCTCATTTCCAGGTTCTGTGATGTTCATTGGCCTCCTCGGTCCCCAGATGTATCCATCTGCGATTTTTTCCTATAGGGAGGCCTCAAGGCTCGTGTATACAGGCACAAGCTTCGAACTCTGGACGAGTTGAACGAGGCAGTTCGCAAAGAATTCGTCCAAATTGAAAGAATGATGTTGGAGAGAGTCTACGCAAACTTTCAAGAACTCCTCCAGCAATGCATCGTCTAAAACGGTCACCACATGACTGAGATTTTCCACACGCAATTGTAAAAAACGCTATATTTCATTGTGAACCCCCGAATCCGTCAATAAATCTGTTTTTGAGTAAAAATTACCGATTTTGTTATTTTTTAAAAACCATCCGACATTTGTGCCAGACCCTGTATTAAAAGAATTAACAATTCAAAGATAATCCCATGAGAACTTAAGAAACATTCTAATAAGTAAATCATAGTATACCTTGTCCGAGTTCTACAATACATTTACCTTAGAATCCATAGAATATAATTTTGTTCTATTTTAGTTTTAGTTTGCTTTGTCAAGAATGATCATGATATGGTATGATTAAATGCAAACTATACAGGGTGTTTCAGAACTATGGGATCAAACTGGTATTCAGTGTAACAGTAAAAAACATTTTAGTATATATCCGGAAAAATGTCACTACGGCACTACGGCCCTAAGACGCGTTAAAATTTAGAACGACGATGAATTGCCTAAATAGGATTTAATGCATTTAATTTTTCACTTTTGTAGATGATATCATCACAACAATTGTTCTTCCTCCAACCTGAATACACCGATTTAAACGTCGCACATGATTTTGGCGGACTTTACTAAAATTTTATAGACGTTTTGAATGATTTCAAATGCTGCTGTAATTTGTCAAATTAAGTCTTGCTCTTTTTCTACTGGAGTTTCGTAAACCAAAGACTTTACATGTCCCCACAGGAACGGTGTATTCAGGTTGGAGGAAGACATTTTGAACAATTGTTGTGATGATATCATGTACAAAAGGCAAAAATTTTATTGCATTAAATCCTATTTAAGCAATTCATCGTCTTTATAAATTTTAACGCGTCTTAGGGCCCTAGTGACACTTTTCCGGCTATGGGTCCCTATACTCAAATGTTTTCTGTTACACTGAATAACCCCTACAAGTTTGATTCCATAGTTCTGAAACACCCTGTATTATCGGACCGAAAGTCGACTACGATCATAGGATAATACGATATTTAGTTATATAATGCCATACATTTAGAAATTAAAAGCGCCACAAGAATCGAAACTGCTGGAATATTTATGCTAAATCGACAGTAATTTTATATATACTCTCATTTTGAGGTAACATCCATTTAAGTCGTCTTTTATTTGTTTTTGTTAATTCTTTAAAGTATGTAATAACCTTAAAATAACATTAACAAATAATTCACGGTGTTTAACTAATAAGCTAGTTGACACTTTTTTAAGTAGGTCTTAAATGGTTAGTATTGGTTCTATTAGCCAAAAAAATACTATATTTTTTTAAGACATAAAAGACCTTTTTATTTTTTGGCTTTAGGACCAGGCCATGCAGCCAGAAACTAGGTTTGAATATATATATATATACAGGGTGACTTCGAAGTTGAGTCATTTATTTTAACAGTGAGTAGATCTGATCAAAAGAAATGTTTTTTCCTTTAACATTTTCCTGGTAAAATTAAAGTAACAAAGTTATAGCCCTTTAGAAGTTTGAGTACCGCCCTGTCTCAATAATAATATTATGTGCTCGTGTTTGGCGACAACGGATATAATCCGCATCGGTCCATCGCATCGGAAACAAAAAAGCGAAAGAATTTGAAACGCTTATCACGATGTTTTTAGTTGGATTCATTCAGTCGGTAACGCGTGAGTGAATAGTGGTGTTTGTTGCGTGGCTCAAACGAAATGAAAAATGGAACATGTTTACGAAAATGCTGAACTTGTGGACATGATTCTTATTTACGGGGGGGGGGGTCTTTACAAAATCGGTTTCCCAATCGAGTGCAACCAACCCCTCGTGCCTTTGTTAATGTAGTACAAAGGGCTCGTGAATCAGGTGACTTAAGACCTCACAGGGGATGCCGGTGCTCCAAGACCGCACGATCAAATACAGGTACGCACTGAAATACTTGTCGGGAGGATACTTTATAAAACAAGGTAACATTTTTTTTTATTTTTTTTTATTTTTACACACATATTTTGGTTTATCTTCCTTCTACAATCACTATCTGAAAATTAATGACTCAACTTCAAAGTATATATATATATATTTCTCTAATTATGGACAAACACACGACGTCACAACATCCATGGCGAAGGCGGCCCGGCCGGCCGGCTGATCAGTAGCACGACACTCTGACCAACGCGGCCAACCGAGGCCCCATAAAAGACCTTAAAACATGAATTTAAAAATATATTTTTGTTAGACAGTCGAAAACGCTGTCCGCTATGTTTGGCCCATATATTTATGTGCTCTGACGTCATACCATTTGTAAACAGCAGCATAACATAGTTTACACGAAAAATATAGTAATTGTATCGTCCGAGAATGTAAAAAACATGGATAAAGATCCCAGGGAAGACGTGGCTTAGAATGCCCAGGGAAATAAATACACGCAACACTGTAACGCTTAGAGCATACCTTATCTTCGGGACATATTTTATATTTTCTTTGACGTAACCTACGGCATCATCACCGTACGATTCCCTTGCAGATGTGTAAGAAGAAATACAATATTAGATAAAATTATTCAGAGTTTATGAGAAAATGAAGATTATGTAAGTGTATTATTCTTTTATGTCTATCATTATATTTGATGCACTGTACTTGCATAGATATGTGTTCCTCGGTTCAGCAGACCAGAAATCTGGATTGAAGTAAAAGAGTTACCAACCATCAGTGTCTGAATTTTCTACAAATTTGTGCTTTCTGCTTTTACGAATCCTACGTCCATGATTGTTTTTTTTTTTCAATAAAAACGAGAAAACGATAACTTTCTACGTTGACTAGGAGTTTTTTATAAATATTCAAAGAAGCCAAGTCCACGAGTGACATACAAATGATGTTTCTTTGTTTACAATTTGTATGACGTCACATTACGACTGATGGTATTTGCACCGGTTCATATTAAAAATAAAAAATATATTTTTTAAATTGGACTTTTATATCCATCTTGCTCTTTTAAAAATTGAAATCGATATATTTTGTTTTCCTACGCCAAATACTGTAAGACATAGTTATTTATTCTATCAAATTATATATGCGCCAAGTAGCTGAATCGCAATGCCAAACAAAAAAAGAGTATCAGTTGCTAAATCCAGCCCTCCGATTTGTACTTTGTATACTAAAGAAGATTATCATAAATTATTAAATAGTAAATGAAGGTGTTAAGACATGTCTACACTCGTCCACCTTATTCATCATGACGTGAGAAATGCGATAAGACATGCGCTGAAAAACAACTGACACAAATGTCGAAAAATACTGATTCTACAATGGGTTTAGGATTTCCTCAGCTTTTGGCATATCGGGCAGTTTGCTAAAATTACGTATATTTTACAAGATACAAAGGAAATAAAAACGTTTTCAGATTTATATTATATCTTTAGAACGTCAAATATTTAAGGCGTGGTGGGACTTTTTCCTATATTAGTACGATACCTTGCCAAATTTTAGACAATGAAACAATGATTTTTCCTAACTTCAAAATCTCTGGAGACTGTCCTGACTTTTCCACAAAAGTGGGTGGAGATAATGCAATATGCAGTATTAGATAATTATCTGATCTATGATATTGGTTTAACCTTTTTCATTGCCATTGTGTAATGTTTACATTCACTTAGGCTTAACGAGGACAATTGGATGACAGACGTATTGCTCTCACCTACATTTTCACTTCCCACACAAGTACTGGAATAGCTACTATATTTTCATCTTTACCTAAATTATTTCAATCCATATAGCCCTACGGTACCTATGGGTATGTAGGCATTAGGCCTGCGTGGCTCAAATATATAGGAAAATATTACCTATACCTCCACCGACCTCGCATCTACCCAGGTACGTTAAGAGGTCCAAATGCAAAACTCACATTCTCCAACTTTTGAAATTCAAATCAACTCTCTATCCTCCATTTTGAAAGCTACATGTCTACAGCTTTGATTGCTATCATACAAAGTAAAATTATCACTATCATATTCAGAATTAAGTGTGGAAAATAAAAATTCGCATTTTTCTTAACTACTTCTAGTTGTAGTACGCGCCATAAAAGAGTTTATGAGTTATAGTACTGCGTCATGAGCCAAAACTGACAAGCTTTATACCAATGTTGTAGAAAAACACATTCTCCCAAGAATTGATGATACTTGGAAACCAAAGCTCAATTCTCCAGAATATTTTCTTTCATTACACGATTTTGTAAGGTGATTTTACTTACCATTTCAGCGTATTCGCTAATAGGGTAAAATATGTTAAATTAGGATTGAAAGATTTGTTTTTGCAGTAGTGGAGAAAGTACAATAAACACACCAGAGTTACTTGAATAGAATACCTGGTAGCGACAACAGGCACTGTAGCTCCGGAAGCAAATCTGCCTGCCCTCGAGTGCCTCTGAAACTGACAAAACATTATATCTGAAGACGTGGACAGCATCTTGGCCATGTCCTCAGGATAATCAGCTTCTTCCCAATCCCCATTCATCAAGCTGTTCAGATTCATACGCAGAACGTGCGCTGTCGCCTTGAAACATGTTTGCAAACGGAAACAAGGCTTGTGCAAGAGAAGAGTTAGGGTCTTTCCTTTCAAATCTTGGGACTGTTTTGATAATTGGATATGTTTTTTTAGATGCAAGGCGTAATGAAGTAACGTTTTCAGTTCATCTGAGGATATATCGGTGGGATTGATGACCTTTCTGATGTTTGGGTAATATCCATTACACGCCATATTTCTAGTGATGTTTGTATGAAATGACATTTTGCGTCGACCCAGCACGTATCTTCAGGGGAAGATCATGAGAACGTTAAGGCGGCAACGGTGTGAAGAGTTGTGAATCCGCGGCCATATATTTGACTTCTTAGAAAATGACATTTTGACGTTTTTGGACATTTTATAGGTTTTTTGTGAGATACCGTAGGTTTTTCTACAAGATGTCAATTCGGAAATATCTATCTTTCACTTCATGATCACTTGTAGCATGGCCGAAATGAACTATTGGCACACTAAAAACTACTTAGTCTGCAAGGTGACATTTTGTCGGTTTTTTGACGTTTCTTAGGTTTTTTTTACATAAAACCGTTACCGAACATAAACCAGCATTGTCACTCAACTTATTTGGCACTTGTCAACACAGCTGTAAGTTAGAACTCCCAAAACTAGTGATATTTGTGTTTTGAAGCTCTCCAGTACCCTCATATACTCCAATGTAAAACATGCGTGAGTACTGCACGCATTACTCATTTGTTTTTTGAGATACAAAAATTGGGCATATAAAAGTAAAGTGCTTGATGCTTGAAAGAGACACCTTTTTCGATTTATTGTGGTTAAAGAACCTAGCAAGGTATCGAAAAAAGAAAAAACCTGAGGTTCTAAAACTTACTTCATCTACTATCTACTTTGAGAATTGGGCAGGGGGGGGGGGGGTTGGGCATCGTCTGCTGCATCGTGCTTCTGAAAACGAATGCCCTTATGACGCGCGGAGAGCAGAGGGGGGGTAACAACAATTGAAAATTGAAGATTTAAGAAACACTGATCTAGAGCATTCATTTCTCGAGGATCCAGTAAATGGAAAGCAAAATTCATGTCATGTCCCATATTTACTTTTTCCGGTATTTTTTTTTATTGTACAACAACATGAGTTCTACTTAAAAGAGAAACTGTATATTAATATGCAATTGCAAACCAACTTGAAATTAAGTTAAGAATCCACAAAAACGTAGTATGCATATCCGGACTTGACATTTAATTGTTTGATGTACCGTGCGTGCATGCGTAAATCTAATAAAACATGTATAACTGAGTTTATAGAATTAGATCAGAAAAAATTACTGAAAAAACTAAACTAACATTAATTTTACCTCTTATTTATATGATTTATTGCTCTTTTCTGCGAAATAACTGTAAAAAAATAAATCTGACTCTGGAATTTTGATAACCCAAAACACATTTAGTTCAATTTCAAGCATTATTTTGTTGTACGTTGATGAAACCAAGTTGATAACTTTTGAGATTTTCAGTATTGTGCCACACAACGTCCTTAATAATAAGATGTTTGAATAAATGAAAAAGTTAAACAAAAAAAAAAACAACAGAGACCCAATCAACTTTTTGTATTTTTTTTTTCACGAGTTTTCATCTCGGTGGAATAACAGCTGATTATCTAGTGCTATTTCAAAACACCCCATATCGACAAGTGGCACAATTAATTCTGAGTGATTCCCCAGGTAGACAGATCCGTATTTTGTTGTTTTTTTGTACGTTACATATTTATTTTGTACAAAAACTATTTTATTTAAAAAGGTTCTTTGAATATAAAAAAACGCTACTAACAAAACGGCTGCTTATGATCATGACAACATTTCAAGTCAGGTAGGAATAAAATAAGATGAACAATTTTTGACTATGTTAATCCCTGCTTTTTAGAACTTGAAACACCATATGATTTTAAAGGGCAATGAAACAGTCATACACGACCGAGAGGTTAGATTCCCTGAATTAGGTCTGAACATTACTCAGGTAATTCTAACAAGTTATAAATTAGAAAAATGTTAGTAAAATAGAAGTAGAACTTTTACGCGTGATAATGAAATGTACCCAACTAGGGCAATGCAGTGTTCGTGAATATAGGCATGGGCCAACTCTTCCAAAGAAACGCAAAGTCGGGTGGACGCTGATTTTGTGGGAGAGCAATAAGAAATGTAGTTTATGATTTTCACAAAGAGAGTAAGACGTTCACTTGGATGTACCATGTGAGCAAATTAATAATATACCATCATTGCATATCAAGGAAATGGGAAATTCAAGGAATTTAGAACTTTTTTATTTACACATATGGAAAGGTTCCGGTACACATACTATCTACCATATCACTATGTCCATTTAAGTACTGAAAGCCCTGTACATTTATCAATCGATTTACTTTGAACAAATTCCGACGTAAGGATGCACTAGTATTATTATTGCTCCATCAGCATCAGCAGATTATGTAGATGAACCTGTTGAAAGTTTATGCATGCATACACCAGGATGCGAGCTTGTGGAGCGGTCAGACAATTTAAAGATGTTTTTCCAATTCGGGGTATTTCCGATGTTTGCACCTTCATATTTTCCTTCGTTTGCCTACTGAAGGGAACAAAAAAAAATGGAGCTGAAGACACGCCCCTAGGCAGACTCTGGAATGCACATCTCACTACAATTCTCAAGGTCGCGCTGAATATATGATATGATCGTTTTATGTTAAAGAATAATAATAAATTTATACAAAACTATCTGGCTAAAGTAAGACAATATATGTGAATATTCTCGTGTATTGAATCACAACAAATTTTGGAATCCCAACTGATTTACTTTTATTGTATTGATCCGTAGCTCAAAATTCGCAAAGATGTTATCTTCTCAACATCTGGCTACTCTCGTAGTACTTGTTTCTACAGCTGTAATCGGCCACCTACTTTATTGTTGAAATTCCATCCCTTCTACTGATCACTTCGACAGCTGGCACTTTCAAGCCTACAACCTACATTAGTATTTAAATATATTGTATGCTCGACGACTTCAAGCTGAAAATTCAATCACGTGAACCCTCTTTTAACTCAATGCTTGGCGCGTGACGCTCTCATGAAATTATACTTCATCTTTTTTTCTTTAGACAAACAATGTTTGTATGAGAATTGTCAATACATATATAAAACAAGATAATAAACAATATTTACCTACTGATAAACTCACATTTATTATACAAACATTTATGTATTAAAAAACCTTTCAAACAATACTTGAAGTGATTTTGATTTGCTACTGCTTGTATATCTTTTGGAAGAATGTTAAAGATTTTGGAACCAAGTATATTTGGCGATTTATTTCCTACTTTAAATTTAGAGAGTTATATGTATATTAATGCTCTGGCTCGTGGCAACTGTGTGTATGCCTTTGTTGAGAGTAAATTGGGTCTTGTTCCGTATAACGCCAACTGGTGTATCACCAGAGCAGGTAAGAATTCATGTTTTTTAAAATATCTTTACAACTGTAGGTGTTACCCGCGCCATTGATCTAACAATTCGCTTTCGAGCACTAAAAACATGTTGTGCCGCATCTGAGCAGCACCAAAAATATACCATATCTGAGTCTGGACTCCACAAGACCGTAGTTCTTAAACAAATAAGAGAGAGAGTTAAATTGCGAAACCAGGTAGTCGCAATGTACTCTGCAACGTCTATAAAATATTCCCATAAACATAATTTGTGAAGTTCAATGAAGCATTTTACATCAGGGATATTTATTTTCTTTGAAACCTAATTAAATTGGTCTTGTCAGTATTCAAAAACAACTGATGTTTGGAAGACCAATCACCTTTGCATCATCATTTTCCAATTTGCTCGAGACCAATATTGATGCACCATCTGCATATAGTGTAAGCAGCGTATATTCACACACTGACCTAATCTCGTTGATATGGAGAATGAACAAAATAGGCCCTGAAATGGAACCTTGAGGAACCCCAGTATCAAGAGTGACTTCACTGGATTGGACTTATTTGCTCATCTTTATGTAGTAGAGAAACATTGTTTCCTATCAACAAGTTATGAGTTGAGCCACCTATAAGCAGCGTCATTCACACCAGATGCAGAGATCTTGTCTTGAGTGGCAACAAAAGTTGTATTTAACTAGCAGTGAGTACCGGAACGCTAAATGGGATTAAGGTGAGAGGCTTGACTGGTCGTGTCAGTGAGTGATCCTTTCCTCGAGATCCCCAAGGTGGTGCTTGCACTACTTGCAATCACAAAAAAGCCCAAGCAGATGCGACTAGCCATAGATTTAAAAGCGTGTCATTGCAAGGGGTGATGTTTTACAAAAAAAGTATTGATTTATAACATATATGTTTTTAAATTTTAATTTATATACTTTTAACGAGACACATGACAATAAATAGAATAATAGGAGCAGTTCTTCAGTCAAGCGTGATAACATCTGAAACAAAACCACAGGTTATAAGAGTCTTCTTGCACAACACGGGTGAGTACCCATCACCAAAGAGTTATAAAGAAGTAGTGGAGGTACGAATCTGTTAAGTGCTCTTACCATTAGAAGATTTTTTCTTCTTTGAAGGCGCGCGCGTAACAGTGATGCCGCTCCGATTGAGAGTGTGGATAATGTCGTCGTGCGGTTCGACCACTTCCACCTCGTCTTCGCTCAGGTCGACAACTGTTGCAGTGGGGGCGGCCGTTGTGACTCTTGAGGCTGTCGCTACAGCCTGTTTGCTGGCCGGTTGCAGCAAAGCGCAGGGGTTCATGCGTAACACCCGTTTCTTCTTCTTCGCCGCAGTGCTACCTAAATATCAAATTAAAATTGTGGCTGTGTCGGTCAAAATGGAAACAAAGTTATAACCATACCCTGCTCAAATAACGCTTACGGTCTGTCAAAACAAATAAGGCCTAAAGATCGCCGAATTCTCACGAGACTATTGACCAGAAGGCTTGGTACACGGATACGAGCGCGAAAGTTGCACAATCCACTAGCGATGTTTATTGGACGGCTTTTTGCATAAAGGAACCAATCTACTAAATATGAAATTTTTTGATTTTAGGAAAATAATCTATTACGAGCATATAACTTATAAATTATTTAGCGTTATATTATATACACACATTTAAAGCCCTTAGTATACCATTATTTAAAATCGTTTTTGGTCTAAAATGAATTTTTTATCATTGTCAAAACTTTAACGCCTAATTGCTCAATAAATGTTTTTCTGGGTTGGTTCGTTTCTGCAAAAAGCCATCCTATTATGAAGTGATGTAAATGTCATTTGAACGTTATAGTGCTCAACCATTTGCAACTTACTGGTCTTCTGAGATGACCACCAATTCATTGTCAATTTACTTGGCTCCTTATGGCATTCTGACGGTACTTCGAACGATATTTTTTATCAGCAATGAAATGGTAGCCAACAAAATAGCTCAGCAGATATAGTTACACGCATTTTGCGGAAACGTTGCGATATGTGACTTTGTATCCACCATGACAAAGGTAATGAAACGTAATAATTTATTTTTGTCTTGGTGTAATAAAGGTATAGTTCTAAAATAATAAGCTTCATTGTTGCCATAATATGTTGATATAAGTGCTCGCTAGTTTCCTGGAAAGAGCATATCATCCATAATAACAACCATACAAATCCAATGCTGCCTTTACCATGGTAGACTATTGAGATTGAAGTGTCAATACTTTATGGCAAAACTGAAGATATTTTGTATGTTCTTCATGTTGAACGGATTACTATTTTTACCTTCAAAATTGTTGATATTAGTATTATTTAGAAGTTTTGAATGAGATTCCACCCCTTATTCAAATTGGGATTAATGATGTTTGTAGACCTAAAGAAAATTTAAAGTCAGTTTTTGCGAACATATACAGTGGCCCTAAAATGACCTTCTCAAATGCCTTTCCAGAAACAAGCTGTTCTTTGATTTGGACTCAACGCCGGAATCTATGATACGAGTCTGGACTCAGATGCTAGACATATATTTTGAATTTAACGGCGAAGAGACGTTTAATTGGCATTCAAATGTTCTCGTAACCTATAGACCGGACTAAGTGACCAAAAAACTTGAAGAAAATGAGATGGGCTCAATTGTTCAGCTTATTTTGTATGTGTCCTTGATATGACCTTGAAGTGACTTTCAAATGCCCTCATAGAGACCCATTGTGCCACGCCGACGCTTTTGTGTAAGTTGTTTTGCATAAAGTAGCTAATCAGAGCGATATAGGTGCTAATGATCATAACTATACATACAGTAATGGACAAAAGAATATAGACAAATATGAATATTTACCTAAATACCTTTAGAAAACGAATTCATACTTGATTGCTCCATAAACAAATGCGTTATTAGTAGAAAAACTAAATTCTTTGTTTTTAAATTATCTGCAATGAACACAATACAAGTCTGAATATAAGCAGTTTTTTATGAGGGACAAAAATATGTAGACAAATTCTTTTCAACATTAGTTTAGTACAGTTTCGTGTCAGAAGAGGATTAGTTTGTGTTCATCAAGTATTGTGGAATAAGTTGAGTGATTTTAAGACCATGCCGCGTGGTCCAGAAATTTCTTTCGATGTGAAAACTAAGATCATTGAGTTATAAAAAGATGGTAAAGGAGTTTGGGCAATATTGAACAAATATAAACAAAAAGTAATTTCGTCCAAAGATCCGTTAAAAAACCCCAAAACAAATAAAATCGGAAATCGAGACAAAAGGAATTGTCAGTGTTTCTACGAAAAATATAAGTATTAGATGAATAGATGGCATTATGTATAAGTTTGTATACACAGACATACTAAAGCATGTCATGTTACCCTATATGGAAGACAATATGCCCTCATGATCAATCTTCCAGCAAAATAATGACTCGAAGCACACTTCAAATCTCGCAAAGAAATTCTTTGTGGATGAAAAAATACTAGTTTTAAAATAGCATTCATAGTCTCCCGATATAAATCGCATTGAAAATCTATGGTAATACTTAGATAAGCAAATACGAGATAAAAATTATTCAAACATGGATGAACTTTTTGCCGCTTTAGAGCAAAAGTGGAGACAGATGGATGTAGCTTATATCAAGAAACTTCTACAATCTATGCCGAGATGATGCCAGGCGGTGATTTTGCTTTGTCTATATATTTTTGTCCTTCATAGTTCCCGTTTTTTAAATTATTTTTTATTGAAGGGAGTCTAATGAATTTATTTATGTATAAGTGAGTATTATGCTATAACGAAATATGTATACAGGTTGGTGTATTAATAAAACAACTTAAAAAAGAAATACAGCACAATATTGATTTGTCTATATACTTTTGTCCATTACTGTATATCAAGAATTAAATAAATCTTAGTAAGTATTTGGCGAACATTGAAAAAATAAAACAAGGGTCACACTTGAAGTATCGTGCTAAATATTGTATACTATACGGTCCGCAGCAGGTCACGTATCTCTCTGTGCGGGGAGATTATCTAATCAAGTAAAGCATATACAGAAGTTCCAGAAGTCGACGTCAAGCCGGAAACGGGGGATAGACCAAGTCATAATACTATAAATAGGAAATCGGAGAATCGTTGTTGTACCCTTTGAACTGCCAAAGTTCTTGGATGGCGAAATTTATTTGGTCTGTTTACAAAATCATTTATCAAATTTATTGGAAGACCGTGTCACTAAGCATTTACAGGGACTGCCCGGCGCACTATGCCCGTCCAGTTAGAGAATATCTTGATCCGGAATACCCGAGCAGATGGATAGGGCGGTCTGGTACAACTTTGTGGCCAGCCCGTTAACCCGCCTGAAATCCACTCGATCTTTTTACTGCGGAACGGTGAAAGAAAAAGTTCGAATATAAAAAATTTAGCTGAGCTAGAGAACAGAATAACGGAAGCAGCTGAATTTGTTAATAACAGACGATTCGCCCGTCTGATAACTCGATCAATTTAATAAATACATTCACAAATTACGAGTAATAAAAGTGGCGTTACTATCTGTCTTGCTGACACTTCGCAGAATGACACTGTACGTCACTCCATCTAAGAAAAAACTGAAATTTGTAGTAATAGGAACTGTCATCACAGGGAGTAGATTTTTCCGATTCTTAACATCTTTTAAAGCCTATAAATATGCGATATAATTTTTTTTTATATTTTCCGGCTTGACGTCGACTTCTAGGACACCCTGTAGAACTACAATATAAGTTTGTGTGCAAAGCATGATACTCGCGATGATATGATCATTTTTGGAACTAAACCATACCATTGGTATGATCGTCATTTTTCCTTTTGACGGCATTGGATGCAGCTGAATATGCGTGATCCATCGAAACTAGATCTTTATCATTACTCCTGCTGTATGTCATCAGAGGCCTCTTGCTTAGAATGTTCTTCGATCGAGCCACCTGTAATAAAATGATTCTAAAAGTGATTTTTTGACGATTCCAAAAAAAAACTTCTAATGAAGATGTGCAGACGCAGCACGCTTTCAAAATATAGTGTATCCAAAATGTTCCCTATAATTTATCAAATATCTGATTTCTAGGAACGTATGTTAATGATTAGAACTAGTACATAGAAGGACACAAACTGATGTTAGAGTTGAAACATCCTTACTAGAGGGCGCTATTAGCGTTAGAATTGTTACTTGAATAATTTAGAAATATTAGAAGTATACTTTATCTGAAGTCACTTGAAACACTGTGAAATACCGGGTGCGTTTTATATATCTATATTGTTGCTGCACAAAATCGCCAAATTTCGCAGCAAATATCCCCCGTATAAGATCAAAAGCAGTTTCACCGGTCCACGTGGAGTAAAGCACGCCTATGCGTGGACATAGCCAATGAGAAAGCGTGTATTTCAGAGCTCCGAACAAGTGCTGGTGGCTACTGAAAATTGAAACAGTTTAGCCAGTGCCGTGTAGCGGTGAATAAACGTGTTTTCTTTAGTCTGTTGATTTAATTGTTGTGTTGATTGTTCTTGTGTGTCCTAAATATGGCTCTTTGGAGACCTTGGGAAAATGCTCCAAGCCACGAGGAGATGGTTGATGAACCTGTGCAGGCAGAATTCTTTCATAAAGATTTAGAGGAACAGACCCAAAGAGTAATCCTAAATATGTATGATTGTCTGAAAAACGAAAATCCAGATTCCTCGCAAAATCAAATTTAAAACAGAATTTGTATCCTGACAAAAATCAGTCGGTCTACCATTTATCGGGTTATAAAAAGGGGAGATGTAGTCAACCATTCCTTCCACAGAAAGCGCATAGGGCAAAAATTAAAAAGAATAGACGTGGGTTTTCAGGAAGATATTCGTCGTATAATATACGGATTTTATAAAGAAAATTTGGTGCCCACGTTGGAAATGATACGGGATAAATTAAAAGATTATCCTGAAGATTTTTATAATTACAAATGCTTAGACTCACTGCACTGTATTGTAAAACTGTGTGGTTTTCAATACAAAAAATTAGATAAAAGAATGGTGATCATGGAGTCGTCTCGAATCGTTGAATTGCGCCAAGAATTTTTGTACAAAGTTAAAATCTATAGAGAGCAGAAAAGAAATCTGATTTACCTGGATGAAACGTGGTATGATACCCATGATGTTGTGCAGTACGGCTGGGTTGACGACAGCAACAACTGCATTTTAAATGCACCATGCAACCGTGGAAAACGAATCATTATTCTCCATGCTGGCAGTGAAAATGGATTTATACCTAATGCCTTGCTGTTATCTGCCAAAAATATCAAAGAATCATGTGCCGACTATCATGAGGACATGACCTCCGACTTATTTGAAAAGTGGATAGAGCAGCAGTTAATACCAAACATTTCCCCAAATTCAGTGATTATTATGGACAATGCGCCATACCATTCCCGACAAAAAAACAAAATTCCGAATACAGGCACAAAAAAACAAGACATTATTGATTTTATGAAGGATAAGGGAATGGAAATCCCACAAAAATCAACCAAAGCCATATTATTGGATCTTATTAAAAGACAAAAATTTGAAAAAGAGTATGTTGTTGACAATCTGCTTCAGCAAAATGGCCATGAAGTATTACGTCTACCTCCCTATTAATGCATTTTTAACCCGATTGAGTTAGTCTGGGCTGCTTTAAAAAAAAAGTAAGAAAACATAATCAGACCCCTCAATTAAGTGAATCGCTATTGGCCACAATAAGAGATGCAGTATCTCATATTGCTGCCACAGACCTATGGAAGCAGTGTTCTAGGCATATTATTGAAAAAGAAAATGAATATTGTGTTTTGCCTCCTGTAAATCCCGTTGTAATTCCTCTACAAGATGACTCTAGCGACAGCTCCGAAGGCGAGGATGATATATAAATACCTATAATGTAAGTCTTTATATACCTTTTATATACCTACCTGCTATGTAAATATTTGCCTATGTCAAACGTTGGAATTCTGTAATTTTTCCATTTCTTAACTTTCAGTCAACATAAATTAAACTCCCAATATAAGTATTTTTTATCCCAAATCAAACAAATAAGAAGATAGTAAAATCCATTTATTGTGACATAAAAACATTATTATTATCGTTCTAAATAAATGACCGCACGCCTATGATACGTCATGAAATTACAAAGAACGCGCCGACCAAAGGTTTTTATGCTATTTCAAGTGACTTCAGATAAAGTATACACCACTCATCTTCCATGAATTTGAGTCTCTCATGTGATATAGCAATTCAAAATACGATTTGTACATTTGCACTTTGCATTTTGCGGCTAAGCGCCATCGGGGAATATATTTTATAGTGAAATTGGAGGTCATGTGGTACCTTATTTTGAAGCTCCTTATTATGAGTAAATTATAACTCACCCGAAATCATAAAATTTTCAACTATAAATCTAACTTTAAATTATCATATTCACTATGATCACTATAAATGTGGATATTCTATCTTCACCCGTAGCCTGTACGAGTACATTGACTCTTTGCGCTGGTCTCCTAAGATGGTCTACTTACTTGCGTCCTGATGATATTCTTACGTTAGCATGATAAATAACTGAATTATTGTTGTCTATAATTTACGGTTTGTATCAGCAATGGAGTAATAAGTACACGTAAGCTTTTACGGTCGGTGTCAATACTCTCTGTTGCTTCTTTCGGGCTTAAAGGACGTGGGCTGGAGTTTACCTTTCCAAAGCTTTCGGCTACAACTGCGGTAGCCATCTTCAGTGGCGCTGCAATCGAGATCGAAAGCTTTGGAAATGTAAACTCCAGCCCACGGTCTTTAAGCCCGAAAGAAGCAAGAGGGAGCAATGCAGTCATAGTCAACGAACGAGCTAAGTTGGTGAGAACATCAGGTTTAGTCGAACGCACCTTATGAAACGTTCAACTTGCGTAGTGGGACTTTGTACCAAACACAAAAAGGATGTTCTGCCGAATTTCATCAAATATTCAGACGTTTTAGGTGCTTACTCATTTGAAGTGAAAAGAGCATATCCTCCAGAACAACAATTATACATATATAGTATGTTACAATGACACACCACTGAGGCATCACAGCGAGTGTAAATCGCATGACTGGCTTAGTATTACGAGTACCTGGTCACGATACGTTAACCAATGATGTTATTGGTCCGAACATTGTCAAGATACTGTATGTCAACTGAATGGTCGTTTTATATTAACTAAATCTACTTTAAGAATCAAATTTGCCTGACGGCTTGAGTTCAATCTGTACCAGAGAAAAGTACGTGTTGAAACATATGTTAGAAAAAGATAGAAGCCGGCTGGATAGTGAAGCTCATCACCGCGTTGGTTAGCAACGCTGACGAGGCAATTTTCCGCGTTGGCAATATGTTACACCAGTTCCTTGAATTAAGAGCCATGTTGAAAATATGAGTTAGTTTATTATCTACGCGCAAATAATGGTTTTATTTTGAATTGTGTCGAATCTATTTAGGATCGATTCCGGTTCGGTACTAACAGCGCTCCATTTAAGGACGAAATGAAAGGTTAGGTTCACCACAAATTCTGGAACATTGCATCATTGGTTCGCTTGGCAACACCGCATCTCGTGCATTCCAAGTCAAGGTTTCCACCTCCATGATCAGGGATGAGCGATTTTAGTCAGGACCCATCTAGCGTTCATTGGGGGGTATCGTCCTGCTTCGAAATGGTTCTCACCTGCGTACACGCAGGCAGTGATGATTTGTAGTGCGTAATGGTATTTGTCGCAAAATGTAACAATAACTCAGGATGTGTTGATTTTATCACCATCGCATCGATGGAAAGCAAAGATAATTCTAAAATAAATTAAAACACTAAGTGGCATCAAAATTGAAATAAATATTCTGAATAATTCTAATCATAAAGAAAAGAAAATACTAAATTAAATGTTCGAACAGAACACCTCTTTGGTTTGGCAGTAACCTAACCTATTGTAGAAGCATGTCCGAACATTTTCTGGTGTAACATAGGTAACGAGGCAGATTGCACGACCTTTTGCGTCGCCGTTGCTAGGCAATGTGGTGTAGACCTTCGCTCTTCAGTCGGCTTCTATCTTTTTCTAACATGTGTTGATACACACTTCTCGCGCTTCTATCTCGTACACACTGAGCTCAAATCGCCAGACAAATTTGATTTTCCTTGTATACATTTCTAATATAAAATAAAATCAGAATAAAAATAAAATCTAGCAGCAGAGGGTCAAAGCGCATCGTTCAGAAAATTTCGAAAATTAAGCCTAGTGCGCAGAAGACTACGGGATAAGAAGTGTACATTCTTGGATGAAACGACAGTATGGTTCAAAATTCACTTATTCACTTACGCCTCGTGGATGTATTATTATTCAAATTCTATCAAAAATTAAAAATAACTTACGGCAGGCCACAAATAAAAGTAGTATAATAGTAATTCTCAAGAAATAAATGCCATACGTACAAATGCTCCCATGAGAGCGACATGAATAACCTAACCTTCAACTTCCGAGGTGACCATGCGTGGTTAAAACAGCGAATCGGAAAAATCGACATAGTATTTCCTAATCCTAATGAAAATACTTTTAGTAGATTTATTGCAGTTTACTAGGGGAAAGTAATTTTGTCAATTATCCTTTGACAAAGCACACCTGAGCCGTACCTGTTGGTTCTCCTTTTGGTTTTGATTGTTGAGGCGTTCGACAAGATTGGCCTTTTGTTGATCCATCCACTTCATAGATGCGTTGTACCAGTTCTGAGGAGGAACATTCGCAGTACCGCCTCCTTCGGATGAAGCGATAGATAACGGATCCTTGGGTGCGGCATCTGTGGCGTTTCGACGTTGTGATTTATCATTTGTCAAATCAATAGGTGTTTCGTCCACGCGTTTTGGGTGCCACGGACTGACTATTTGCGGTTGCTTGTTCGTATTCTGCTGGAGTGCTCCATCCAATTGACGTCGTTGGCGCCTGGCAAATATGAATCGTTTTACGACAAGCATTGATTAATATATTGTATCTGAAGACAGTCAACCACGTTCTGTGTTTCAGTGTCTTAAAGATTATCCGAGTTGAAATGAGGTACCGCAGCGTCATCTACTAAAATTTGTCACAGCTATATCTCTATTTACTACATATACGTCGAAAAGGTTAATGTCTCATAGATCGTGCTCTAGTCACCTATAGGTGCTTGTATATGCTCATGTGCTATCCGATTCTAAGTCTGGAAAAATCATTTTGTTTTGAACTTGACTCCACACAAATTAACACAACAAAAGTAACAGTCTAACTTGTTATTTTGGTTCTTTCAATTGCGTACGCACTCAGAGTACCATACAGCTTAATTTACCACTGTTTCAAGTGTTCATAGCACATTTATGCAAACAATTTGGAGTATCCATGACAGTTTCCATCTAAAATAAGCACTTTACAAAATCTGTGACAGGTTTTATAGACTTTTTATTGTATGTTCATCGCAAATGTAACAAAACATATTTGGATGATTAATATAACTTCTTCGCGATGAATACATGACATTAAATGTTTATTCATCGAAATTTACTGATAAAATATATCCATCAAATCTTTTAAAGGTTTTTATGTTGATTACAGGAGATGGTCAGGACTACTGTGAGGAAAATTGAAAGAACATCGGCCATACATCTCTGTCACGGCTAAAAGCTGCATTGCTGCGACTATAGAAAGGATCTTAAATAATTTGAGCAATGTACATAGCAATAGAACCACTTACGTTTGTTGTAGTGTATTGTTGAGAACATTCTTGGCACTCTGTTGGAAGAACTGTTTCAACGCCTTATTGAATTTTTGGACCTCCGGTGTAGGGTTCATGATGACGCCATTGGCTTGTAGTGTGTTCTTATTAACATCTACTTGCTTTCCATTGAGATTATTGGCTAAATCCACACTGCTACGAGAACTGGGCGGAAAATTGTACGCCTGGCTGGATGTGAGAGGTGCTGATCCTTCAGCAACATTCTTGGAACATATAAAATGATTTATTTCTTATCACGGTAAAATGCAATAAAAACCACATGCCACTAATAACTGGGAATGGGAGCTACAGTTAAACACACTAGGATTATTTCAGTTTATTTATTATGTATTAGCCTATAAACATACATTCTTATAAGGTAATTAACAAAATGTTATTAAGAACAAAACACCTTTTTTGGAGCGCTTAACTCACATCTCACAGAAAGCAATATGACATAATCTTGACTGAGTAGTGATTCCTTCACTATCAAGGCACCAGCCACAACAAATAAAATAAGACAGCTAAAAAAGATCTCTCTACATATTGAGTAACTCGTTTTAACTTACCTTTTAATTATAGCTACTGACATTCAGCCGGTGTTTGGCAGCTAAATCTGGTTCTGGTCCAAATTATAAAATACAATCTTACGCATTTTTCGTTTGTCAAATTCTCTGTAGGGGCGCCACCATATTTTGTTAACGACCGCATTGCGTTATAGTATGGTAATACAATTATTTTTGACTGGGTGCAATTTATACGGGTTGCGAAGTTTCCTAATAAGGCCGCCGAAATTGGACAAGAAGGTTAAAATCCGTTAGTTAGTTATCTACAATGACCGTTGGATTGTTAGTATCGCGCTTATACCGGGTGTTTCAAATTAGACCCTCACGATTAGGATCTCGGAAACGGTAAGAGATACGGTTAAATGGAGACAAAGTTGCGCAATTAGGTAACTAAAAAAAAGACAGATCATGATTAATTTCTGGAGATAGGCGAAAGACAGAATTTTCCCAATATAAAATTTTTTCGAAATAATTTGGGTTTGACAATGTCGCTGTATGACATATTATATATTTTACTAATTAGAATAAAAAACACTATTCACATGAGAAAGAATATACAAGGTGTCGCAAAGTTGGGGTTTTCCTTTTCAGAAACAACTACCCTTGAAATAACAAAGGTAATGTGTAGTGAAACGAGGGCGACCAAGTAAAAAAAAAATAAAGGAAAAAGTACTCACTCTCCAGTTGACGAGAAGGGCTAAGTACGTCTCTGCCCGAAATTATACCGCTCCAACAGAAAATGAAATCAGCTGAAGCGCTACCGAGCAGACGCAGAAACCACATTGATTGTCTTACACTTAATGGCACATCTTCTAACAAGGAAGGCAAATGTTGCGTGAAAAGTCTAGGTATTGCATCCCGTCCAATCGATTTGGGAGAATAAATGGTCCAATGAGCATACCGTTCACCATGCCAGCCCAAACATTCACCGAAAATGTTTGTTGAAAATGACCAAACATGAGTGTTGCGAAAGTTATTCACCCCATTACGCGTGAACGTAGATTCGTCTGTCACCAATATGCACTTCAAAAAGTCCGGATTATTGTCATGTTGATGCAACAACCACTCACAAAACCGCACTCTTGCTGGAAAATCGTCAGGTTGAAGGGCTTGTACACGTTGGACGTGAAACGGATACAGCCCCTCTTCACGCAGCGTTTGCCACACTTTAGTTTTTGATACTTGCACTTCTCTAGCCACGTCTCTAGTGCTTGTTGTTTTTTGAAACGCAATCGATTATACGAGTTCGTTTACCTCTACACGCGTGACTGTAACCGTCGGTTAAAGGTTGCATACTAACCTGACACACTGGCCCCGACCCAGTTCTGCCGTCGGGTTGAGACCTTGTACCAGTCGGGGTGTCGGGGATATCCCGGCGGGTCACGGCTACAGGACGGTATTCAGATATTTTTGATGTTGCAGAGCCCTTTATCTCGGTTCCCTTATGACATTGGTGTATATGGTACTAAGAAAAATTGCTTATGTTTTCAAGATCTACACGTCGTGTAAAGGAAAACCCCAACTTTGCGGATTGCGTATTGTAACAATATTTTTAGACTTCAAAAGGGCATTTGAGACTAAAGATAGGGAAAAATTGTTAATGAAATTGAGTCACTATGGCTTTAAAGGATCAGTATTATACATTTTACACAGTTATTTAGTAAATAAAAGTAAAAAAACTAAAGTTGAAAATAGTATGTCAAGTGTTCAAAATATGTCAGTAGGCGTGCCACATGGGAGTAAATTAGGGTGTGATTTTTTGGGGTAAAAGCCAAATCAAATCTACACCTTTTCTTACATATATATATATATATATAGCACATAAGCATTTGGACTCTGCTTTAGAACTGTTAAATAGTGATATTAAAAAATTGTGAATTGGTTAAATGTCAATAAACTTAAATTAAACACTAATAAAACAAAATGTATGTCAATAGGGAAACATTTAGGTGACGATACAATTAGGCTCATAATCAATGATAAAAAAATTGAAGTAGTCGAGTCATTTAAATATCTTGGTATATATGTGGATAGTAAGCTACTGTTTCACGAACGTTATGAGGACATTATTTCAAAAATATCGAAAAAGATAAATTACTTCTATAGAGTTTCCCATAATCTTAGTATGTATTCTAAAAAAATTGTGTATTCTTCCCCATTTTTTTATATTGTTCAACCATCTTGTTTACAGCAAATGGAAACATACTTTCAAAATTACAAATTCTACAAAACAAAGCTATGAGAATCATTTTAAATAAAAAACAAATATTTTATTGAGTCTATGTTAGAAGAACTGCAGTGGTTGGGTGTGCAAAATTTCATATATTATTAGTTCTCGTTTTCATATTCAAATTAAAAACTCATTTATTACCACCACATTTAGAGAACTTCACAAAATTAAATAGTCATTATCATAACTACGAAACTAGAGGCAGTATAGATTTTCATGTGCAAAATTGTAATAGTAGCATGACTAGTAAATCTATATTTCAAAAGGGAGTATTTGAATTTAATAAATTGAATAATGATATTAAACAAAGTTTGTATTTAAAAATGTTTAAGGTGAAATTAAAAAATCACTTTATGAATAATCAAAATACATAGTGACGTAATTAACCGAATCATTATACAAAATTGACATTGTAGCATTAATGCTAAATAAATCTTCAACAACAACAACTTTTGTGAAAATCCAATATGGCAACTATAAGAAAAGATAAAGTTGATGACTGAAGACAAGAGACAAAAGCTCATATTGAAATTCTAATTATGCCATCTTGTACGGAAGAAAAAGTGGCAATGTTAGTGTACTTTTGTTTGAGTCCCATCTCAAATAAAGCCAGGAAAAAATAAAAACCATTTTGAGAAAATTCGGTTCCTTTAGTTTCGGAATTGTGAAACTTTCTAAGCGCCATTTTCTAAGTCACCTAAATGCGCAACTTTGCCCCTACTTAACCCACTTCGTATCTCGTACCGTTTCCGAGATCTCAATGATGAGCGTCGAATTTGAAACACCCGGTATAAGTACGAAAATACACTCGCAACCCTGTCAATACATCTTTATTGGAGGTTCAATTCTTGAATACGAGAGAGTAGAATAACTGATAGAAAGGGCACGATTCTATTACCTTTCGGGAAACTATATTCTTTATTACTGATAGAAGAGTCGCTTACCGGCACGGGTATTACGTATCTTTAAAAGTGACATGCCGATTTTTTTTACATTGTATTGGTTTTTTGTGACATTATGTAGGTTTTTCTACAAGATGTTAACTTAGTACTTAGTTGTACGTGATGCCTGAACGTCATGAGGCTTCAGTTATCAATGTTTGGCTCTGATGTGATGTAAAATCTGCTTCAGAGATGGCATTACAGGAGGTCTAAGCTGTAAGCTGTATGTGTTGATCATAATTCCATTAGATTCTTGTCTCAAATACAGTCACTTGAGATTCGAAGCTAGAAATTAGTTGCGCATCCACTTTTTCTTATCCATTCTGGCAACATATGCAGAATTTAAAAAATGAGAGAGAAAATAAATAGTAATTATATTCAACGAACACTGTCGAATTATAAGCCATATATATGCTAACAATAATTACATGAAACGCGGGTGCGGTGGTGATTTCCCGTAATTCTCCTCAAAGTTCTTCGTAATTTATAACTATGAACATAACCTCTCCTCAGAAAGCACAACACAAATAACCCGTCGGGCATAGCTTAATAGATATACTTCATTGGCAGCATATTCAGTAATGATTTACTCACACAGCTAATATCACTGGTTTTATACAGATGCAGACCAATAGACATATCATCAAGATGCGATGTTGCTATTCAACCTACTTTCTTCTCAGAAATAAAAACTACAGACTACTCGGCTTCACAAAACAAACATATCCAACCAAAAATGCGTGTACTTTAGTCGAGTCATTCCTCCAAAGATGGGTGTTCACAACAATTCTTGTGAGCAAACGTGGAATGACTATTTGCACCCTAAAAACTACCTAGTCTTTTATAGGTTTTTTACATAATACCCGTTCCGGTCATTGTGAGGTCAAAAGGTGCGGAAGTTTCTCTGTCGGCCATAAGTCTCATTTCCAGAGGCAAAGTCTCTTTATCTCTCTGTGCTGAAACATTTAATGATGTGAATAACTTAGAAACATTATTTTGCCGAAAATTGATGCAGTCAAAAATAATTGATAAACGCCAAAACAGATGTCAAAGGATGACAGATAGGTAATAGAACACTCTCAAATGCTGAGAAGAATACGAGTCAATTATTTGCAAGAATTGACCACCCTCTGAAGTCTTGTCGCATTTTCCATCCATTTTACCAGCTGTGTTTTCTCTCTACAAAAGCGTGACACCACTGGTACAACGGTCATTGTACATGGCCAATAAGCAAAAAAATTGTGCTCAATTTGAGGCAATACACTTCATTTGCAGCTAGGGAGATAACGATAGATTTTTAGCATCAATATACACAAAGCTATTCATAGTGATTATCGCTATATATCTGGTTAGTACCTGTCCACTGCCACGATTAACTCCATCGACATGTCCTTGGTAGTTTGTAGGTTGATGATTAGGCTCAATGGTAGTGCCACTGCTGCTAGGTGGACAGAGAGAATACGCCGTGCTGAACGTTGGCCCAGGGGAAGTAATGGGCACTGCACCACCGGTGTTCATGAAGTCTTTGGTGGTCGCTGCAAACGCAGTCATGGCTTCGGCTGAAGCCACCGCAGCTTCTTTGGCGAACGTTGCGGCTAACGCTGCAGCCTCTTTTGCGGCTTCTGCAAATAATTTTGAAAAATAAAATTCTTGCCTCCATTAGCAGGAATCAGACCAACAAAGCCCGCCATTTGCACGATATCATCGTGTATGAAATTTTGCAAAGGCGCAATAACTATTATGGATTTTATAGGTGCGAGTCAACAAACGTATCAAGAATGGTTTCGCGTTTTAAACATTTTAAAGTTCTATGAAATGACTGCAGTACAAGTCCGTACAGTGAAACGGGCTGGACGGACCGCACGCGGAGAACTGTCGGCAATCTAAAAAGAATTTCTCGAAGGATAACTTTTCCGATACGTGCTGATGACATACAGAATGTCGATCTTCGCCAAGTGCCTCTAACTACTTGAAATTCATGTTGACAAACACCCGAGTGTTAGGCCTGTCTTTGGCCTTTTCTATACATACACCCCAAAGTGGACTAGGGCGGATGTTAAGGAGATTTTAATTCATAAACTTTGGTAGAACATAAAGCTAACACTTAAAGGATTGAGTGAACACCAGCGTTCCAGGGCCAGAGAAGAACAATAAGCATTTATTTTCTTCAATGATATTTGAACGATATTATACAACACAAAGGTTTCTTTGATAACAAGGAATTATTGCTAATCGGAATACTGCATATGAATAACTTTTATTTATGAAGTATCGTTGTTTGCTACAACTCTCTAAAAGCAATCCGTAGAATGAAAAGTTGCCATTTCTATATGCTTTGCTCACAGAAATATGAATATCTAACTTACTCTGTGCATTTTTCTCTTTCTCAAATTCTTCCCATGCAGCTATTTTCTCTTGCTCGTTTAGATCATCTTCAGGCCTATTGGCTAGTAGGGCTTGCTGTTCGTGGAATCTATGAATGATACAATAGTGGAATAGTAAGTAAGAATGTCAAACGTTCTGTTATTACACTTGCGGTATAATGATATTGAATAATCTTTATCTAAAGTAGTCTTTATATTTATGTGGTGTATTTCAAATATCCCGTGTTATCAAAAATCTTACTTATATATTACAGGCAATTTGAGCAACAGTTTTGCTAAAACCTCGTCCTCAGGTACACTAGGCGTTGGCCTCTGTTTATCTGCCGTTGGATAACACTCATACATGGCTTGAAGATCGTCACTCTTGTAATGCCTTTTGATTTGATATTTATCTATGACTCTATGAGCTACAGCCAGTTTCGTTACTGTACGTTGATATGCTTTTTCTTCCATAGTATCCTAAAAAATAATTTTGGCAAATTTAGGAGTAAGCATTAAGAGGAAAGAGGAAAATGCATTGAATATGATATGATTTTTCGTATGAGCGTAAACCCGCATCTCCTTCATTCCGTGGAGCTGACCTAGTCTACACCACCAGCTGTCAACCAGCTTCCAGGATCGACTGATAGAGGCAAATTCAATCCTACCTGCGCCACTGTTTCTTTGTTAGGTTGAAGTCACATTGTTCAAGATCATTTCAAGTCCAAGACAGCTTTCTTAATAAAGGAAATTCCTATTTTTGACAGCGGAAATGTATGAGAAGAAAACTTTATTTTTAAGTATGTCCGTATGACTATGACCGTAAATGTTATGTATGCATTTTTTATCGACGTACTCCTACTCGTCATAGGTCGTGGTCAAGGTCATGTTCAAGATTCCCATTTAATGACCCTTTTTAAAAGATTTCAACTTCGATTTGCAACATTTTCTCTGGGTAGTATATTTTTCGAGATATTTTGGACACCATAGAATGACGTTTAACTGAAGGACTTTACATTTCCAATAGTGACCTTAAACGTCTTAGTCAAGGTCGTTATTGGATGATCCTTTTCAAACCTTGCAACTTTATTCTGCAACATTTTTCTCTATGAAACATGTTTTTTCAACATTTTGATGAATCCATACTTTCGGGACACCATCTATATGTGTCGTATTTTTGCAAGTTGTAAATTATCACAGGTGCAATAGGTTAAAAATGTACTTACCAACGCTATCAGTCTATAAACATACACAGCCTTCTCTTGTCCAAACCTATATACCCTAAATACACTTTGTAAATCGTAAGACGGATTCCAACTAACTGTCATTGTAATAACTCTATTAGCAGCGGTTAGATTTAAACCAAGTCCACCGACCCGAATTGATATTAGAAGTAACCTGTAAAAATTAAAATAGGCTGATAAGAGAATTTGATGTATGGTAAGCGTGCAAATTTATAAATATCTTCAGATCTTCACGTTTTCACTTATCCTGTCGTTTTCATCTCGATAATACGCCATGTTTGTCTGGCCAATGAAACTACAATTGTATATTTTAAATTCCTCTTTAATGTAGTAACATGACACTTTTTACACTTTTTAAAAGTGTCATGTACTGAAGAAGGTCACCGTTGTGGCCGAAACGTTTACTACATTACATGGGGATTAATAAATATTTTATTTTGATAAAATAATAAAACGATAATGTTACCTCAACTTAGTATTTGATTTATTATTAAATCTATCACAGATTTCGCTTCTGCTTTCTGGTTTACAAGTGCCATCCATCCTGGTATAATCAATGCCCTTTTTCCAAGATGGACATTTTGAGGTTCCGCATTTCTTAAGGAAATGTTCTATCAGGTCCAATTCGCCTAGGCTTTGAGAAAATATCAATCTGTAAAAATGTTCCAAATCAATATGTCAGCTTTAATCTTTTGTTTGGACTAAAACCACATCAGCAATCTTTCCGAATTCGGGGAAAATACAACCGTTTATGACTTTAGTGACAATATGTTAACAGTCATAATCTATAAATGTTCAGATCTGTTACACCACAAATGCTGATATGCTGGGAATTCTCAGCTGGCCACGGTAAGAAAATTTTGTCATTGACATAACATGTATGGTACCAACATCTACAGGTCGCAGTGCTGCTGCCTATTAAGAGTTCTAACCTTTAGTACGCATAATGAGTGAAAATACGATCTTCGAAATCGGCTTGCAGAATTGTGCTGATAAGACTTTTGCTATGGTCCAAAAAATGAATATCCATAACAAGGCCATGTGGATACTTCACACAGCCCCACTTGAATGAATGAATCTTGAATTTTAGAGGCATCCCGGCCACCATAAGGAGCCAGTGCATAGGCCGCTTAAGCGGGCCCTTATGCACCTCTACAATACTTAAATCACAAGCCTCGCCCTTTTAGCGAAGTTGAGAATCGCCTTGAGTCCAAGCTCCTTTACGTCCTGAGGGTCCAAAGTAATGGACCCCAGTATAGTCTGCCTATAGTAGCTCAGAGCTTCACAGCGACACAAAACGTGCGCCGAGGTCTCTTCCTCTACTCCGCAGCGTTCGCATAAGGGATCCTCAGCCACCCCCATCACGTGCAGGTGCCGCCTTAACGTGTTATGGCCAGACAACAGTCCCACCAGCAACCTTAGGTTGGCTCTACCCAGAGATAGGCAGAAGCGTCCATCCTTAGCACTGGGCCCTTCAATGAGCTCTCGTGCCTGGCGGAGATGTCTAGAGATACTTCTCCATTTCTGAGAGTGTTGTCTTGCAACCCACGTCTCCATTTTCCTCCTAGCTTTATGCGCGGTTACTCCTAGAGCTGGCTCAGGACCAACGAGCTTGCTGGCTGATCCTGTTTTCGCCAGAGTGTCCGCCGTCTCATTGCCCCTTATCCCAGCGTGCCCCGGTACCCATATTAACGATACCGGATGCCTCGCTGCGAGGCAATCCAGAGCCTCCCTGCATTGCAATACAAGACTCGAAGTAATCTTACATGCACTTAGTGCTTTCATTGCAGCCTGGCTGTCGGATAAGATTGTTATTCTTCTCCTAGGCCCACCCTCCTCCAGAATGTGAGATACACAAGCCAGAATCGCAAAGATTTCCGCCTGGAAAATGGTGGTGTACTCACCGAGAGGCAGAGATAGCCTAGTTCTAGGTCCAGAGACCCCAGCACCTGAGCCCTCTTCGGTGACCGAGCCGTCCGTGTACCAGACCTGCCCGCTCACTTCGGAGAGTCCTCGGCTACCGGCGTCCCACTCCTCCCTCGTTGGGTACTCCACAATGAACTTGCGGTTGAAGCGATATTTAGGGGTAATACGATCACCCCTGCTTAGAAGGACGGGGTCCTCCCTATCTAATTCGACTAATATGGCAGTATGCCCCTTGACCGGATTCAAGAAAGCCCAGCTGCCCTGACTCCACAGTCGATGAGCGACTACTCTCGCTTCACCGCGGATCACCAGATCCAACGGTGGGAGATCCAACAGAGCTTCCATTGCACTCAATGGCGTTGTTCGCACTGCGCTTGTAATGCTAATACAGGCCAAACGCTGAATTTTATTGAGTTTGGCCTTAGTTGACTCAGTTCTAATGCAAGGCCACCAGACCAGGGAGCCGTACAAGAGAGATGGACGTACTATCGTCGTGTAGAGCCAGTATAAACACAGCCCCACTTACTGTTGCCATTGTACAACGACAGAAATACTATAAGTACTTAAAAAATTGAAACATAAAACAATAAATCGAAATAATTTCATAACTAAAAAACAAATGAACAGACTAGCGATTATATGTATTAAAGATTACAACATACACTTTATCTCCGATTTCTTCGCATTCCTCCAGTATATGCTTCACCACAAGCAGTTTGGTACCATACTCGATGGTATTTTCGGCATCTGTAGGCATATAATCTTTCCACCATTTGCCTACGTCCTTACATGTGACGCCATCCTCATAAGTTATTATCACATCTTGTTCTTTGTCGCTTTTCTTTGGTTTTTCGGCCACAATCTACAAATTATATTCTGAATAAACTGGTTGCGTTGGAGGAATACAATCAAAAATGTCATTTCGTCCAAGATTCGGTGTGTTGTTGAGTGTTACAGTTTAATAATTGGTTGCCATGATGCTAAGCAGTAATTATCGCCTAAAATTTCAAAAACTTCAATCCTTGTAACATGTGATAATTATTATCATATACGACTTTTATCAACGATCTCAAAAATACTGGCCCAGGTTCGTTTCTTATCGCGTTACACATCAAACAATTGGGTTTCGAATCTTCCACATGTACTACTGGAGTAGACGGTATAAATTACTCGGAAAATGAGCGATTCAAGGCCAGACTCGAGCAGGTCATATAGGCACCCTATCTCGACCTATCCAACATTCAATGTTTACGTTATATTCATTTATATAGGGTGTCCAGTGGGAAACTTCACTTTTTGATTTAAAAAAAATCATACAAACTTAATGAAAAAAAAATATTTATTACTATCAACATATTCGTAAATTCGGCGGGTTTTATTTCTTAAATATCATTCCGTCCAAATGTTTGCCATCCCTTAGGACACACTCTTCTAATCGCACGAGCAAAATCTGAAACACTCTCTTGCAGTGTTCCGTAGTGATGTTGTTTTTTATATCTCGTCGACTGTTGTCTTTAAACTCCTCCAGTGTTCGTGAATTATTGGAATACACTTTTGACTTTAGATAACCCCACAAAAAAATCGCATGTCGTGAGCTCGGGTGACCTACGAGGCCAGTGAATGTCTCCAAACTTTGATATAACTTTTTGAGGAAAAAATGCTTTCACCGAGTCCTTCGATTCTCTGGAAGTATAGGCAGTGGCCCCATCTTGTTGAAACCATGTGTTTCTGTTGAATCGACGTTCTGTTCTTTCAATAGAAGCAAAAACAGTGTCAATCATGTCCTTGTATCGCTCGGAATGACTGTCAATACATGACCGTTTTCATCTTCAAAGAAATACGCTAATACCGCTAGAGGATATGGCGCACCAAACAGTCACCTTTGGACTACGTAGCTGTTGGTGATGTTTCACTTTTAGGTTCATCGGTGCCCAATATCTGCAATTTTGCTTGTTCACATAACCGTATAAGTGAAAATGGGTCTCGTCACCGAAAAGAACGCTCTCGAGTCTGCGCTGCGAAGGAAAAAGATTCAACATCCGTCCAGCACAAGATTTCTGTAATACGTAATCACTTTCCTAAAGCATGGACTTATTGGATTTTATAAGGATGAAAACCCATTTTTTCTTCATTATGCCATGCAGTGTTGACCTAGCGATTCCCAAAGCAGCGAAATGCTTCCATACAGAACGCCGAGGATTTACTCGACGCACATTTTCTTCGGTTGATACAACAGGTGTGGGCCAGGAATGGATTGACTTAGAGTAGAAACTGTTCCACGGAACCTCTTAATCCACTTTCTCAATAGGTTCTTATTGGGGGCATCTCTTGGTCGGCGAATCTTGTATCGTTTACAAAATTTCCGACGGGCAGCTGCCTATGGATCACCACTCTTAAAGTAAGTCTCAATAGCAAAAGCACGTTGCGCTAGAGTCCAACGTTCCATTGTGACTATTTAACCCGCACGCCGAACGCGTCGATCAAGACCTTTCAGGGTATAGGATAAATTTCAAGAGTTCTATAAAAAACATATATGCATATAAAATCACATTTCATGTCCAAATGTGGTTTACAAAAACCTGACTGTTAGTTTAGACTTATTATACTACAGCTTACCTTTAGAAGATACGGATGTGTACAAATATACCGAAATATGCCATAATCGCTAAGGAAGCCCTTGTGAGTGTAAGCTTTACCCTGCTCCATTTGTGCCGTGAAAACGACTTCTAGGAATTTTCTGTAAAATTCCACTTGCACTGGATGCAACTGGACGAACACAGCATAGTGGTGCATTTTTTTCAGGTACGTCTGTAACTCGGTATCCTCGAATCGCTAGAATTGTTTGTTTGTTTATTCAAGATTTCTTTAGCATGATTGCTACAATTACATTCTTTTAAAAACTTAAACAATTACATAACATAGATATTTAGAAAAAACAAAATTTGCATCTTTAAGAATTTTCACTGTACATGAGATATTCCTTTAATGTTCTTTTAAACATCTTTAAATTACAATAAGACTTTATATCATTATTTAGTTTATTAAATTCAAGTATTCCTTTCTGAACTATCGATTTGTTAGTTATATTACTATTGCAATTTTGTAAATGAAAATCTATATTTCCTCTTGTATAATAATTGTGGCAATGCTTATTCAATTCTATATAGTGTTCTAAATGTTGTGGCAAAAGATGATTTTTTATTTCAAATATAATAATAAGAACCATATATGATATGAAATTTTTTATATTCAACCACTGCAATTCTTGTAACATAGATTTTATTTTAGCGTAGATACTTATTTTTATTCAATATTATTTTCATGGCTTTATTTTGCAGGACTTGTAATTTTGAGAAGCTTCATTAGCAGTGAACAAGATTGTTGAACAATATACTAAACGCGGTAGAATAATTGTATTATAAACTATTTTTTTGGAATATGTACCAAGACTATGAGAAGCCCTATAAAAGTAATTTGTTTTTTTGAAATTTTTGAAATAATGTATTCATAGTGATCCTCAAACACTAGTTTTACAATCAATATCTATACCTACCAAAATATTTAACTGATTCAAAATTTTCAATTATTTCACCATTTATCCTGTGATAGTATTTTCATTTAGGTATCTCCCTATTAGCATACATTTTGTTTTAGAAGTAATCAATTTTAGCTTATTTTCATTTAACCAATTTATGATTTTTGCCAAGTCAGAATTTAGCATTTTTAAAGCAGTGTCTATATTTTCATCTGATATGTATATTAATGTATCATCTGCAAATATCTGAATTTTACAATAATCTAAAATATTACAAATGTCATTAATGCATAAAAGAAATAGTAGCAAACAGAGTTTACTACCGTGCGGTACAACAACAGAAATATTTTTTGAGCTTGATAATGTAGATCTGATGTTGGTTTTTTGACTTCTGTCAATTAAGCAGTTTTGTAGAATTTTGAATACGGATCATTTACATCCATAGTGATGCAATTTTGTAAGTATAATATAAAGGGTAAACCTTTGCAGAAAAAAGTTGTAACTAAAAATCTGTTGGTTGAATTACTTCTCGAGTTTTCTTTCACACCAAAGGTATGTGAATTAAAAATGAAAGCCCAGTGATGATATCAGATTAATGGAATTCTTCCTGTATCATTATTCTACTTGCTGATGTGTAAAAACAATATCTAGCGTCCGGTACTTCCTTTGGATCATTCTCATTAGTTTAAAAATATTCTGATGAATTTGTATCCCAAAAAGCATCCGTACAATGTGGTGAAATGCATCACGCTTCATGGCCAAACTTGATTGATTCTGATGAGTAGTTACAAAATATTATCATCACACAAACTTTTTTGGAGTCAATGAATGATTTAGAAGTACGCTCCATATCCGCAATTTTGGATTTATCAAGAACTTGGAAGACAGTGGCGAAAAGGTCAAATCATAAAAATATCAAATTCACAAGTTGACATTTTAGGTTGGAAAATTCCACCTTAAGCAGAGAGATTCTTCGACTGCGCAAATGCCTACGTCAGTTTCACTCTAATTTAAGTCCAACTGAGCATGATACTAGAGCATAAATGCAAAACCATTCCAAAATCGATCACAACGTCCCATTTGCAGCCGACGTGGCTGTTCTATAGAGATTAAGGCACTTAAAAATTGAGGTGACGTGGTGACAAGCAACGTGTTTAGCATCCACATAACATGTAAAAAAGTAGTCTCTGAAACACTGAATTAATTTAAGGTTTTTAAATCCTTAGGAGTACGATCCTTCAAACCACTAGTTATATTTTTATACATATAACATACTTACCTGTATTGTTTGTTTGAGGTAATTATGCAAAACATGAGTTCTTTTCTTCATCAATTTTATATCTTCTTTTGTAGAGTCTATGTATTGTCCATTTGTAATAGGATTCACAAAATTAGTTTTAAATTCTTTTAAATTTCCTAACAAGTTAGGTTTTACGAACTGAACCATGTAATAATCTGCAACATAATTATTCCAATTTTATAAGATGCTGTATAAATATTAGAAAATTGTTTAGATTGTTAGACGATGAAATGTTGAATTGTTCGTAGAATTTGTGGAGCTTATTGTTAGAGATTACATAAAATTATGGTGGTAAACGCCTTTCAACCTACACTCAATAAGGTTATTTTGGAGAGGTGTCCCAGTAAGTACAATCCGTCTTTTCGTACGAACTTTATTCAATGCCTGCACTTTGACTGCTTTTTTGCTTTTGAGCAAGTGCCCCTCATCACACACTATAAGGTCTGGACCTGAAACAAAAATATATTGCAATCGATCGAAAATTAGACTCTTCATCAATTTGGTGAGCAAAATGAAAACGATCAAACTCAATTCTCGTATAAACGGTTGATACACCGTTGATGGCGTTTTGACATGAGTGGCAGAAAACATAAGTATCGACAATTTTATAAGTACATTTTAAAAAAATACAAAAATTCTGACTGCAGTAACTGAAAAGAATGATTTTTAATTGTGCTGTCAGGACCAATCTAAGGACAAGTCAAACGTCAATATCCATTAAGCCTTTTGGTCTGTAGCCCGTGAAATAGAATTTTTTCAATGCATACCCACGCGCGAAAAACATTACCCTTGTTTTGAGGCAGTCGGGTAAAAACAGGCGAATTATATAGACCAACTAATTCAAATCAATTACCTGGGTTGACTAATGCATTGATTACAAGACTTTTGAAATCAGCTGCTAGTTTGTTTAGCTTTTCCTCATTTGTGAGGCACTCGTACCTTTCATATCCCATGATGAGAATAGATCTCTTTGCACAATACCACTGTTTTATTATCCCTTTTTGCTTAATTATTCCGATTTCTTGGGTCGAACTAAAAATACAAAGTAAAAACATGAATGTGAATTCAAATCTGTGGGAATTTATCATAGTTACATAATGAATAAAAAAAATCAAACACTCAAATTATAAATTTGAAACATCAGTCAAATATGTTTCCAAAATGATTGAATACAATTAATTAAAACTCAGACAAATACTTCAGAAACTCACCCAATGGTGAACACCTCGAAATTCTTCTGTATATCCTTGAATCGCAGTCTCACTTCTTTCTTCCAATTGCTAACTGTAGACAAAGGACAAACTACGAGAGCGTGTTTTGTGCCTGTATCCTTGTACGCGAAAAGGGTGTGAATCAGAGTGAGAACCTTAAATAAAACAAATTAAATATTGCCCGATTGTCACGCCTGGGTTTGTTTACCTGTAATGTTTTGCCCAATCCCATACAATGAGCTAAGATGCAACCAGCGCCATGATCTTTGGCTTTTATCCTTTCTAAACTTTCGTAGCAATTATCCCACATGAATTTTATTCCCTCTTTTTGATGAGGTTTCAATATTTTGATCAGTTTTGGATCGACCTATAGATACAAGTTAAAATGCCAATAAATGCAAATAATGTAGAAATTTGCTATTATTATAAAATGAACAATGGCGTCAAGTAGGTTGTATCTATGCTTCCCACGCTTTGCTGTCATCAGTTTTCTGTGAAAAAAAGTTTAACACCAACATGTATAGCCATTAATTAACAAATTCTACCTGGAGGTAGCCAACCAAGGCCTATATTCTAGCATTTACAAATTATCTGAGATAAAATAAGATGCCGTAGTGTCATTTACGAGAACATGCCACAGCTGTTTCTTTATTTACTATATATACTATGGTTGGCACTTTATAGATGGCGCTGTCTAAGAGACCCTACACTTTTCAAAGTATATACAGTAAATAGGGAAACGGCTTTGATACATTCTTATAGATGACGCTAGGGTACCTCATTTCATCTCCGATAATTTTTTGGACGCGGAAATATAGTATTAGGGTCAGGTAGCATAAGTTAGTCAATGGTATAATAGAAAACTAAGCATATCAAATTATGTCAAACAAGCTCATGCAATTAAAATTTGCGCTGAGAATATTCTGCTCTTCAAAAAGTTTTGGAAGCAGGTAGATTTTCATAAGAAAATATCTTTTGCCGATGAATGTCCTCCTCCTCGTTCGTGCGGGCGCCCATGAACGTAGTTATGAGTACTCGTCGCTCGTCATCCACTGCGAAACATGCCATCGGCCGGATTACGAACCACGTATATAGAGAGGCGTCTGTTGAAAACATTTATATCTAGTTTTAAGGGCAGATGTACCGGAAAATCTATGATGAATGAAATATGTCTAAGAGGTGTGCAGGACTACCGAGGTTGAAAGCATATATGAATATACTAACGTCAAAAAAGTGAAGTATATCCATCCATATCTTTCTCAACTCTCTGCAATCCCCAACTGTTTTTTAACCCGTAAATGTTCTAAAAATGATCGGGAGCCTCTAAAATGTCAAAAAACGAACTTTGAGCTAGTAATATTTTTTCGTTTTTTACCTGTAGCTCCGCAGCGCCTAGGCGTATTTTCAAAAACTGGAAATCTTTATCGTCCTTGGCATAGTTGTCGCCTTGTGCGAAAAGTTCATCAAAATCCGAGCGGTATTTTCCAAGTAAACGGGCCAAGTATTAGTGTACAGACCGACAGACAGAGAGACGGAAATGAGTGAAGAGGTTTTTCATGATGCACATGTCATATAACATCCAAAAAACAAACCTCATTTTAGAAACTATTCACAATTACAATACTTCCTCGCCCGTGGCATGGGAAGTAAAAAGGTTGATTAAACGTAGAGTTTCAAGTTGACTGCATAAATATAAGAAGAAAATAAACTGGTATGATTGTTGATAAGTATAACGTAAAATGTGAAAATTCGAGAGGAAAGTGAAGACTTTGTGAATGAACCTGATGGTGATGGTACTCTTCCGAACTTATCCAGCCCTCATATATGCCTAGCGACCATCTGTAGCATAGATTTTCAACCTCAGGACATTGAGAGGCACCTTACTAAACTGAAAACTTGTTCGTCCCCTGGAAAGGATGGGATTACTTCTGCCGTTATGAAGTCCTGTGCCTCAGCTCTCGCATACCCCCTGTGCATTATATTCAACTCCTCGATTCAAAATCACATCCTTCCTTCCTGTTGGCGTACTGCATCTGTGACACCTATATACAAAAAAGGAGATAAAACATCTGCGAAAAACTACCGTCCTATCAGTCTTGTGCCTATAGCTGCGAAAATAGCCGAAAAGATCGTCCAGGAACAACTTATGACATTTGCGTTCAAGAACAACCTGCTGCCTAGCAACCAACATGGTTTTATTCCTGGTAGATCAATTATCACCAACATGTTACACTGCATTGACAATTGGACCAGATCTTTAGACGCAAGTGAACCGGTCGACGTGGTTTTTCTGGATTTTTCCAGAGCTTTCGATCGAGTTCCGCATAAAAGGCTCCTGCACAAGCTTGAACATCTCGGAATCAGGGGAAATTTGTTGTTATGGATTGAAGCTTTTTTGTTAGACAGATCTTTCTCCGTCCGTGTTGGAGACGCCTATTCTTCTAGTCATCGTGTTACTAGTGGAGTTCCACAAGGATCTGTGCTAGGGCCAATACTTTTTTTTCTTTATACAAGCGACCTTCCCACCCGACTTTATTCTATGTGTTCCATCTATGCAGATGATACTAAAGTCTATAACACTGTCATGAACTCATCTGTGCTTCAAGAAGACCTCAAGCTGATCAGAAAGTGGTCAGAACTCTGGCTCCTGCCTTTAAATCTATCGAAATGCTACGTTCTCCACCTGGGAAAGAATAATCCTAACTTAACATATAAGATTGGCAAACATACCTTAGAGACTGTTCTTCATCACACAGATCTTGGTCTGACAGTTAATGGCCGGCTCACCTGGTCGGAGCACATTCAGAACATAACCTCTAAGGCAAAGCGGTTGCTATATATGATGGAAAGGTCATTTAGCGGTTGCACCGTTAGTACCTCCTCCTTTTTGTACACAACTTTCGTACGACCCCTACTGGAGTTTGCTGGTCCGGTATGGGATTCAAACCTTGTTCGCGATAGCAGCTTATTAGAGGCCGTTCAGCGTCGTGCTACACGTATGCCATATGGCACACGTAGGCCAAGTTATGAAGACCGCCTCGAGCTATATAACCTGCCTGCTTTTGCTGATAGAAGAGTACGAGGAGATCTCATCATCACTTTCAGAGCACTGCATAATTTGTTTGGTGTGGACATGTCGCATCTGTTTCGTCTGGCAACGAACAGTTTCAGAGGCCATAACTTCAAATTGCAGAAGGAAGCTTTTAGAACCTCTACTGGTCAGCGCTTCATCTCAAACCGTGTCTTCGATGCATGGAACAGTCTTCCATCTTATGTAGTGAACTCGGAATCCGTCAACAGTTTCAAAAACAATTACGATAGACACCGCAGTGCTTAACATATTGTTCGCATTCTGTATATGTCTACTTCAGAAGTGCTAAGATTGTCAAATTGTTATATTTCTTTTGTCTGTACACTATTATCTATTTTTGTGTTTGAGTTTATAGTACTTGTACTCAACTCAAATTTGTTGTTTAATAATAATAATAATAAACTAGTTGTCCTGCTCTCGAAACATTACCGTGCGACGGAAGCTGATAAACGTATTTCTCATGCTTTTAATCATGATGCTTATACATATACCAGGAAAAACTACGGCTGTAATAACGACCGAAAGTTGACGCATGGAGTACCAGTGCTGCTTTGACAGTGTTGCTATGTTGGGGGATTAATCGGCTTTCACACCCACTTTATTTTTACTTGGGGAACTTTTGGGAATATAATTTTCTAGAGGAAGAGACTCTGCGCATGCGCAGAAGCTCACTTCGATCACTGTGTCCTTAGTCAGGCGTCACGTTTTGGGCTCTTTTTTTTCTCATTTCGCCGGTTCTCCTGGTATACAGGGTGTCCGCAAAGTTGGGGTTTTCCTTTTCAGAAACAACTACCCTTGAAATAACAAAGGTAATGTGTAGTGAAACGAGGGCGACCAAGTAAAAAAAAAATAAAGGAAAAAGTACTCACTCTCCAGTTGACGAGAAGGGCTAAGTACGTCTCTGCCCGAAATCATACCGCTCCAACAGAAAATGAAATCAGCTGAAGCGCTACCGAGCAGACGCAGAAACCACATTGATTGTCTTACACTTAATGGCACATCTTCTAACAAGGAAGGCAAAATGTTGCGTGAAAAGTCTAGGTATTGCATTCTGTCCAATCGATTTGGGAGAATAAATGGTCCAATGAGCATACCGTTCACCATGCCAGCCCAAACATTCACCGAAAATGTTTGTTGAAAATGACCAAACATGAGTGTTGCGAAAGTTATTCACCCCACTACACGTGAACGTAGATTCGTCTGTCACCAATATGCACTTCAAAAAGTCCGGATTATTGTCATGTTGATGCAACAACCACTCACAAAACCGCACTCTTGCTGGAAAATCGTCAGGTTGAAGGGCTTGTACACGTTGGACGTGAAACGGATACAGCCCCTCTTCACGCAGCGTTTGCCACACTTTAGTTTTTGATACTTGCACTTCTCTAGCCACGTCTCTGGTGCTTGTTGTTTTTTGAAACGCAATCGATTATACGAGTTCGTTTACCTCTACACGCGTGACCGTAACCTTCGGTTGAAGGTTGCATACCCTGACACACTGACCCCGACCCAGTTCTGCCGTCGGGTTGAGACCTTGTAACAGTCGGGGATATCGCGGCAGGTCGCGGCTACAGGACGGTATTCAGATATTTTTGATGTTGCAGAGCCCTTTATCTCGGTTCCCTTAAGACATTGGTGTATATGGTACTAAGAAAAATTGCTTATGTTTTCAAGATCTACACGTCGTGTAAAGGAAAACCCCAACTTTGCTGACACCTTGTATAGGCTCCATTCTATTAATATTTAAAAAACTATTCTTGATATGTAAATAAAGAAATGTGTCCCTCATCAACCGACTTCGCATTTCTTAGGCTGAGGTCACGGCGGAGGAGGTAGGATTTGAGGCAAGAGGTAAGCTAGTTGTTAGGATAATATATCACAACAAATAAACCTCTACAACGTGTGCTAGGAGGCACTATACCCAATTCGTAGTGCACTTAAGCCCAGACAAAACCCAACATGCCCAAAAGCGAGATTGTACAGGTCCGTGTTTTCCTCAATGGTCTTGGAATAATCTAACAAAATAAATGATTATTTTTATAGAAAGAAGTGCACATACTTTTCACAATTCTTTATTCGCTGGAAGTATTTGAATCATCGTCCGAATGGTTAATATTAATTATTTCAGGATCAATTTGAATATCGATCATGTTGTCCAGATCTTTGTTCCGATTGTCAGATGCCGTCTTTCCAATGGTTTGCCGTCACTGTGTTGATAGCTTCGTAAAACAAATTTTTCACGTCAGAAAATTTGAATGTTCTATTGTTTGAAGCCACATAGTTTTTTATATTTGCCCAAATCACTTCGATGGTATTTAATTCGCAGTGATAAGGGGGTAGCCTTCAAACGTCTTATTTGGGTTTTTAGCCATTAATCAATAACATTAAGATTATATTTGTGCTGCCTGACTAGATGGATAAGTTCTACTTTGACCATATTTTCATTGAAACTAATGTCTTTTTATAGGAGTCATTGTTGAATTCCTGCCTTTCTTGTGGACATTGTGGAACTTTTTTCTAGTTTTCTAGTGTGGTATGCAGCATGATCAAGTACAATGACGGCGTTGTCTTCAAGCTTTGAGAGCGTTTCTTCAAACCGTCGTTCAAATGAACTCCCGTCCATTTCTTCATGGTGGTCAGTCGTTTTCTTTGACTCAAATGTCCATAGGGCAGTTCGCACAAAGCCATTTTCACTGCCAATGAGACAGATAACAAATGGTTTTCCTTTTCCTCGAAATAATTATTTCATATAGTATCCAAAAAAACAATCAGAGTATCTAACAGGTGTTGGTTCCAAATCTACCAGATATAACTAAGTTTAGTGTAGACAAGTTTTCAGCGTGGGCAGATAGATTCAGTCTACTTGACACCATTTTTACAACACAAATGACGCATTGATTAGATACACGTACCTGACGGATTCTTTAGGCTAGTGGTCAGTCCATCTAAGAAGGCTTGTCTTACTGATTTAATTATAGAGTTAGCCCATACTTTAGGTTTTGTATGTCCTGCGTTTATCCAGGTTTCATCCAAGTAATAAATCTGCCTGCCCTGATCGCGGTATTTCTTTATTGACTTTAAATAATTTCTTTTCCATAAAATAATCTCTTGGCTGTCCATCAAAATACTATTTCTGCCCCGTTTCTATACTCAAAATAAAGTCCTTTGAGTAAACTATAGAATGTGGTCCTTTTGTAAGTAGCATCACTCTTAACCTCCTGTAAGACTTTGTCCATGGTGGGAAGTTCATGCCTTTAAAAAAATTGATGAACTTTGCATCTGATGGAATTCCGATCACAGTTATAAACTGTATCGTGTAATGCACCCTCTTGTGTGGTGGAGACGATTTTTTGTTATTTTTTATATATTCTTTAACAATGATATAAAAAATTGTCTTAGGACATAAGCCTGTTTTGTTCGCCACATGTCTTTCAATATCATGAATTTTCATTTCAAGATGCTCTAAAATTTCGCTCTTATAAACGTTAAGGACAATTTCTTTTGCCTGAATATTCAAATGTCCCTTCGTGTCACGTTTTCGGGGAGGAGACATCACTGAAGAGGAAGAATGGCTGAAGGAAGCAGAGGGAGAAATATTCTCAGTTTCATCTGCTGAATTTGTAAACGAAATGCTAACGTATAAACACACGCTATGTATGCACCGATTATGAACAGCAACTGGTGGCGAATGACCAATATCTATTGCAACGCTTAGGCGGCTGCCGCTTTGCCGTGCTGCATCCTTGTTGTGACGGGGCGTAAATGGACTACGATTAGGATAGAGACGTTTCTATTGTAATCATATCTAATGTGGAATCTGACTAGCGACATATATAAAAATACAGAAGTCTAGAAAAAACTTGAGGCTGATGTTTTCACAATTAGCACTTGACACACACACTGATCCAAAACCAATAGGTCAGTTTTCTAAATGCCAAATGTTCCTATACAATAAGGAAATTACGTTATCTTTATATCCCCCGGTGAGAAAGTATTGTAAACCCGAGAATTTTTGAAAATGTGTTTTGGATGTTGTATGACACCACATAGATCACGAAAAAGCGTGTCACTCATTTCCGTTGGTCTATCAGTCTGTCTGGCCACTAGCCATTGGTCTGTCTGTAATTTGGAAGGTACCACTAGGAGTTTGAGTAACTTTTGACCACTGGTTACTACTATGCCAGAGATAAAAAGCATGTAGTTTTTGAAAATCGACCCGGTACAGTGGCGGCGGAGCTACCGGCAAAAAATGAAACACAGTAAAAATCGCCCAAACTTCGTATTTTGTCTCATTTCCGAAACACCTGATTTTTTGGAAATCTTTTGAGGGGACTAATTGTATAAGCCTATTTGACTGACTTGCCGATTGATTTCCTTTTTTATATATCTTCTGAGTTAACTATGCCGGCCCTCATCTTTTAAGATTTTTGACAGCATTGCGCGGGAAGTACAGAGTCAGCCTACTTGACGCCCTGTTTTATACTAGCTTATCGCACCAACTACGAGAATCATACGAAACCTTTTGATATCCCAGCATCCAATCTTGTACTATTCTGACATCAAGCATACCACGCGGTGTGACCTGAGCCTTACCTGTACCAGCGCCTTGTTGGTCTTCTCATCCACATCCAACACCAATCCCTCATCTATCGGTATTTCCTCCTCCCCCCTAACTCCAGAATCTTCCTCTCCATCGGTTGTGATACCGGTGCCGCTGAACGATTGCGACAAACACTGACTAAAGGACTCCCTCAACTTCTGTTTGGTCTTTAACCGGCCGATTCTCTCCTCTTCAGCCTCTTTGGCCCTCAAAGTGGCCACCTCGAGATCCGCGTCCGACATCAACGCCCGGATATTACGACGGTGTCCTTTCTGGCTGGAGGTTAGTTCCAGCGATGAGGATGCCTCCTCATCTTTAAAGACGCTTTAAAGACATAACAATAAAGATTCTATAGATACATATAATAGTAATTTGACTGTCAATCGTTTAGTAATTTCATCAAATATTAAGGTGGTACGTCCCCTTTTTAGATTTTTTTTTCAACTACCAGTTTGCAGCAGTATTCAAAAACCTTTTCACCTGATAATTTCATGGTGAGTATACAGATAACTAAAAAACAATGTTTTAATTTTATTTGTAAAAAAATGTATTTTTTGTGCATTTTTTCTTCAATCAGAACTTGTTAACAAATATAAGTACAGCCTGAAATTGTGTGCGAATATTCCTCTGTTATAGAAGAATGAAACAAGTGATTACACTTTTCCTGTTCGGAAAATCTTTGATTTTCTTGAAGCCTCGTCTCGCAGCAAGTTGGGTTTATAAGAAAAGCACAGATTCATCAAAGAGAAAAAGTGATAAGAATAAAAGTAATCACTTGTTTCATCCATCCATAAAAGTGGAATATTCACATACAATTTCAGACCTGTACTGATATTTGTTAACAAGTTATGATCGAAGAAAAAATCCACAACAAAATTCACAAAAAATGTATTTTATGACAAAACAAAATTGAAAACAGGTAGTTGAATAAAAAAAAAGCGAAAAGGGGTCGTGCGGCCTGCTTTCGATGGTCTTCACCAACCACATACAAGTACTGTTTTGCATTTTTTAGGGATCATCAAGTGTAGTAAAACTTACAATGCGAGAAAGTAGTACTATATTTTAGGTTTGAGTTAAAAAAGTATTAACCCGCAGGTTTATTGTCACGACGTAAACATTTAGAAATGAAAATTTTAAGTCTCAGTGAAAAGGAAATCCGATGAGAGGGACCAGAGGATTTAATAAAAAAAAAGCAATTGCCGAGGACTCGCATGAAAAAACTCCCAGCACTGTTGATTCTTAAAAGAATTAAGCTTATAAATATACGGATCCAAGTCCCGTAGAAAACAAAAAAAAGGTTGATCCTTCTTTCTCCTCATTATTCACCAACCTATACGTGGATCCTCATACAACTGGCAAAAGGTCAAAAACTAAACAATTGGCATATATACATACAAAACACGGATATGTAATGTCTGTAGCAGACAAATACACGTAGTTTCAAAAATAAATTTCTGACTGTAAGGCGACGTTCCTGAAATTGGAAGAAAATCTCAACTGTTCCAACGCAGAAAAAAACGGCACACAATTATCAGAATTGTTAAAAATAACCTATACATACTACTTACAATTCGACGTCGCTATCATTATCGGTAGTATCGTCTAAATTGATTTGTTCTACAGAGCTATCATCTGAAGTATCTGACTTATTCGATTTTTCTTCTTTAAGTGACATTCTTGTTTTCTTTTTTTCTTCATCTGAACTTTCGTTAAAATCCAGTTTGTAGTCCGGATCGTCATCCCTAAAATGAAATATTTTTTACAATGTGCTTTTTGTCGCTCCAGTAGAAAATCAATAAAATTTCTTTATATATTGTGTATCATGAACTTTTGCAATGAATCATACATGGACTTTAGCAACCTCTAGATATAGTTATATGCATGAATAATTTTTTTAATATTGTAATGCTTCCCTTTCCTTGTCTTTCTAGAACACTGTTTCTTGAAATTTGTTTCAAAATCATGCTTCACTCACACAATCTCTAAAAAAACTCAAACAAATGCACTCACTCGTACTTAGATTTCCTGTTTCCTTTCCTCATCTTTTTTCTAGAAGACCTGCTTGAACTACTAGAGGTGCTAGAATCACTAGAGTCAGTAGAGTCTATTTTTTCCCTGAGTAGTTTATCATTTCGCCATTTTTTCTTCGCTTTCTCCTCTTCCGGCATTTCTTTCTGTTAAAGTATAACAGTATTGTGAATGCCATTTTCTAAGCTGTATATAAGCCAGATTTACGCCACGTCAAAACAGATACCAGTGCGCTATTCTCAAATCCTCGTGTTTGTTTTGACACGACGTAAATGTAGTTAGAACTGTGTAGATAAATGTGCTTTAATACGAGTTGTTTGCTGGTCAAAGTAAACACTCAAGACCTTCAAGTGGATCTGATGCTAATAATTTTTATAAGCGAAACAGTATTAAACAGCTACCCCGATACAGATAAAATAGTAGATACCTACATAATGAAAATCAGTTTGGGCGTTTGTCGTTGGCGATTAAAAATCATATAAAAAGAATGGAGACTTTTAAACGATTTGACCAATTTTTATTAAAAGACCGATTTAATAATCCACAAATTAAGGCATTTCATCTGATAATTGATTAAGGCTTCGTTTGCCTTGGGTTGGTCACCCCCCCTCCCCCCATCCCCCCTCGTGCACCCCATAAACTTTAGCGCACATATACAGGGTGTTCGAAAAATAGACAGGGAGATTTTAAAGGGTGATTCTTTGTTAAAAAATATTGAAAAAAGTTTCTATAACCATGAGTCCGGAAATGCAGAGTTTTCAAGATACAGGGTGATACATTTAAAAAAATATTAATTTGTTGTAGTTTACTTTATTTCATGGTACCTATTGGAAAAGTTGCAATAACACTCTTTCCTAGTTGTTTTTTGATTTTTTGTTTTCCAAGACACTTGTGATTTTTTTAGCAAAACCTAATAAACCAATTTTGTCCAGTGACATGCAATAAAACGGTTTATGTCTTTTCTCGAAAACGAAGTGAAATACGAAAAACATACAAAAAGCAAAGAAGTCGTATTTTTAGATGCTTAATCATACAACAAATATTAAAGTTACAACAAAGGCAGTGCCGTACATGTTTTTTGCCAATAATATTCGCTAAGGTACCCTCCGGGACGCCACTGGACCTAATAATTTCAGTCTATTTAGGGCTAAACTAGCCTCTTAATAAAACAAATAATATCGCCAAATTTCAATAGAATCGAGTAAATATTTCTTGAGATATAAAAAAAATTAAATTTGCATTTTCGGACCCATGTTTATAGAAATTTTTTTCCATATTTTTTAACAAGGAATCAGCCTCTAAAATATCTCCGTCTATTTTTCGAACACAATGTACGTAAGAGATTTGTGTCGTGCGACACATGGTTGTCTCTATATTATCTCATTGTCGAACATTGTCGCTCATCACAAATTTCCTGGATAAACTAGCGCATAAACAGCTGAATCGCTTTTTATCAAAAACTTTCAGCTAAAAAAATCTCGGTTCATCCGTTGGAGAGCTACAATGCAACAGACGGACACATATTAAACTTATAATCCCCTTAGTTTTTGCCACTCCACATAATTCGATAGTATAGTTTAGTTCAGTATTGACTTGTAATTTATGATAACTAGTTTGATGTTCTAGTTTGTTCTTGTCACCGATCTTGAAATTATCATCTATACGTTATCTTTTTAATGGGTTTACTGTAAAATATGCAACTCTAGTATTTTTTTTAACTTTTTCTAACTCAAATGGATTCCAAACCCTCATTATTAAGCAACATTCCCGTCCCGTTTTTATGCAAAGCCGTCCTTACCAAACAGTCCTAATTGCAAGAAAACTATGAAATGTACAGTAAATGGGACTTAGATTTTGTATCTTTGACATCAACTTTGACTTACAATAGCGGAAAAAAGTTTGGAAACAAATATTAACATTATTATGAACTATTTCATATACTTAAATTAAAATTGTGAAGGAACAGATAATATAATAAATATTAAAGTATACCTTTGGCTCCTGTACTAATGCAAGGTTTATCTTATCAATATTTAAACTCTCTGAAAATAAAAACACGCGTTTTTTAAATACCACAGTTTTTGTAACGACAAGAGTATGGAAATATTTGAGTTTTGTCGTATTTATCCGTTCTGCGATACCCTGACATTGCGTGCGGTAAATATTAAAATCAGTGAGATAGACAAAAGTAAATGAATTTTCAAAAGATTTAAGAGACAAAGTAATTGAATTATTTAGAAGTGGTGCCAGAAATGTTGACATTTCTCAAAGATTAAAAGTGAACACATGGACGATTTCGAAAATTATTAGTAAATATCAAGGATACATACCAACAGCAGCGCGGCCCAGGTGCGGAAGGCCGAAAAAAACGATTATGTTTTGGATCGCTACATTAAACGTTTGTCCCATGAAGATTTTTGAATGCCAGCCGCACAGATTTTCAAAAGAATCCTAGCAGAGGGTGCCGAGAATCTTTCTGTCAAAACATTGCAGAGACGCATGGTAGGCGTCCAGTGCAAAAGCCTCTCATTTACAGAAAATCGCATTGCTCGGCTTGAATTTGCTAAAACTCATCTAACTTGGACAGAACAACAATGGAATACAGTCTTATGGAGCGATGAAAGCAAATGACGGTACGGCATATGTGAGACGTCCAATATGAACAAGATTCTACAAAGAGTATCAGTTGCCAACAGTTAAGCACGGTGGAGGCAACATCATGATTTGGGGCTGTTTGTCTTGTTCTGGAACGGGTCCAATTGTTAAAATTGTTGGGAAAATGGATCAAAAACTTTACATATTCTTACTGAACACATCGCTATTGCTGAAGAATAAATGCCTTTACGATGGACATTCCAGCAAGATAATGGCCCCAAGCATACCTCAAAAACCCTTAATGGACTGATTAAGACTAAAAAATCTTAATGTTCTTACATGCCCTTCGCAAACCCCGAACCTAAACCCTATACAACATCTCTGGGAGCATTTGAAAAGACGACAAGAAAAACTTATAAAAAAAAGGAACGATTTATTTGATTATGTGAACAATATTTGGTAAAATATCCCGACAGACGTCTGTAAAAAATTGGTGTCTTCTATGAGCAGCAGATGTCAGGCAGTGTTGAATGCTAAATGAAGGCTATGCTACCAAATATTATCTAAACAGTACTTTTCTAAATCTTTTTATAGATTTATTGTATTTAATTTTGCAAAAAAAATGTTTCCATACTTATATCATCTCATTTTTGGTCATAAAATAATATGAAGGTATTTTAATTCTGTTCTGTAGTAACATAGCAAACACAAATTGTCATTTGTATCCACAAGACAGTAAGCAATCTATATGAGAAAAAAGCCCTTAATAATAAAGAATAAAACATTAACGCACTTTTAAAAAATTACTCAGAATGTTTCCAAACTTTTGTTCGCCACTATATGTTTGTACATACATGAAAACCAATATTAGTATACTTATACTCTCACCTGAGGTATTTCTTTAGCTTCCTTATAACCTTGTTTCCCCTTTTTTTTCACTTCCTCCTCTCTGTCACTCTGTTCGCTATCACTATCCATGCTGTCATCCCCCATGCGTTTCATCACAGCTCTCGCTAACATGCTATCCAGTCTTTCCTCGGCATCAGAATTAAGCTCTGGGGATGATCCTCGACTGTTCCATGCTTTCACGTCGCTGTCACTACTACTGCTACTCGAGTCGAGTAAGTCTTCGCTCAGGTCTGAAGTTTGACCTTTTTTTCTTTTTTTACGATGACGAGGTGACGATTGTTCTTTCGAATCATTCGAATTCAACTTTTTGTCCAACGTAGTCAAATCGCATAACCTACAAACAGGCAGAGAAATAGAGATTTCTCACAAAAGAGAAATTGAACTTTTTAGAGCTTAGCTTTTTAATGAAAAAGTTTAATCAGGTAGGTTGACTAACTACGAGTACATGGGCCATTTTTAAGTAAGAACCAATTGCGCATCGTACCCTCGCAACCTGTCACGTGACGTCCGTGCAACCTCAGACATTCTTGGCCAGTCTCTCATTATGTCGCCACTACGTTTCTGTTGGTGTTGGTTGTGTGGCTATAATGCTTTGTTTGTCGCCAGGCCAATCGGCAAATGCACCGATTGTGCAAGTGCGTTCAGTAATTAGATTTTCAAACGCAAGCTTGCTGAATTAGGGGTGCTATTCTGTTATCCAAAACCACTGGCGGAGCCTGCTCTCTAGCTTCACAACAACGCTCAGCACCACGTTGCGGTGAGAACACAGGCGCAACTGAAAAAGTTTCGTTGGGAATTTCTGGATAATTCACCATTCAGTCCTGACTTATCATCATCGGACTTTCAGTTTTTCCAAAACTTGAGGAAATTCTTGGAGGAAAGTGCTTAGAAAATGTTGACATATTGGGGTAACAGTTACTAACAGGTTTAACGGTCTGGCGGGAACGTTCTTTGACGACGGGATCCAAAAGCTGATGCCACAACTTGAAAAATATTTGAATGTTTATGGTAACTATGCTAAAAAAAGCAAAAAGGTGATATTTTAGTTTGTGATACAATTTATATTCAAAAACAGAATTTCTCAGACTCCATTACAAAACGGTCATTACTTAAAAAATGTCTCTCGTATTAGTCACGCACCACCAATGTGAATTGCACTTCCAAATTTGGCAAGATTTATTTTATATCTACATAGCATGCACAGGAGAAATCAATGTCTCAAGTAATTCTGGGAAAAATGAGCATCCTGAAAATATGTTTTTGACCAACACCCTAAAGTATTTCTATATACAGGGTGGCGCATCGAAAACGAAACAGACGCGTTTACTGGCAGCTCAGTTTTCTTTTTGAAAAACGCTCATACCCGTCGATTTTGTTTTCGAGGGGGACACAAGTTTGGCAAAAAATCACGTTAGCACGTGCAGCTCCCTAAGCGGGGGTGACACCACCCCCAAAATCTTAAATGGAAAGGGGGTCGAGTGATACCTGATTAGTGGAAATCAATACATTTGGCAGCAAAGTAATTTAAAAATGAAGAATGAACTGACCCGTTAGGCAAGTAAATGTTGAAAATGGCCACCACGACGCACCACACAATAATAAAGATTTTGCTCAAAACGTTGCCGCACATTTTGCAATATTTGAGGAGTAATTTGAAGGCACTAATTCACAATTCTTTGCCGAAGGTCTTCTAATGATGTTGGCTGAGTAGCATAGATTTTGCTTTTTAAATGATCCCACATAAAGAAATCCAAAGGTGATAAATCTGGCGATCTTGGGGGCCATTCAATGGCACCTCTTCTACCAATCCATCGATCTGGAAACGTCTGATCTAAATATTGTCGAACACGTAATGCGTAATGTGGTGGGGCACCATCCTGTTGGAACATCAACCTATTCGCAATGTACCGCCGATCATTCTGATTTTCAATTATGGCTGTTAATGCAGGATCTATGGCGTCTTCCAGTAATTCCAAATACATTTCACCGGTCAAATTTCCAGGTAAGAAAAAAGGACCAACTAAATGATCGCTAAAAATATCAGCCCAAACATTTAATTTTTGTGGCTGCTGTGTATGAACCTCATGATAAATTCTGGGATTAGAATCGGACCAATATCGGCAGTTATCAGGATTTACTACGCCATTTAAGAAAAAGGAACATTCGTCGGAAAAGCAAGTGTTGAATAGAAAATGTTCATCGTTTATAATTCGTTCACTCATATCTTCACAAAATTGTAATCACCGATCAAAATCGTCTTCATTAAGTTCTTGTACCAGGTGAATTTTATACGGAAGAAAACTATGGGCCTTTAGAATCCATTGGACAGTACGTCGACTATCACCACACACAGTCTCCAATTTGCGGGTGCTTAACGTAGGATCTACATAAACTTGCCCGAAAATCCCCACTTCTATTGCTTCGTTCCTTATGGGATTTTCAATGTTGCGTTTTTTATTGGCGACTGGCCGAGTTTCCCGAAATTTAGCTAGGAGTTCTAGAACATATTTTAGATGCACGTTACTGATCTCATGTCGCTCATTAAATATTTCTGCTGTTCTATTAGCGCACTGATTATATCCGAAAAACATTTCGATAATTTCAACTCTTTCTGCTGTGGAATATACCATGGTTAATTTATGTAATAAAGCGTTACAAGTTATTTTAGCAACAAAGTTTGGTCAAAGCAATTGCAAACTATGTACTAAATTCCGATTTAAAATAAGTACGAGATATTTCCTTATCTTTCTTCAAGAAATAACTTTTTTGCCACAAAAAAACGCTCCAATAGCTATTTTCAACAACAAAATGATAAACAAACCATGGGCGTAGTGAAGAAAAGCATTTACTTATTAAGTAAATTGTTTTAGTCAAATTTCTTCTGAAAGTAGTACAAACTAATCTGATGTATCTATTAAAGTCTACTTTAAGCTTTAAATCAATAAATCTTCAAAACTACTGAACTGAAGCTTATGCATGCTACATCATTATAAAGGGAATTGAAAGGTACCACTCGACCCCCCTTTCCATTTAAGATTTTAGAGTTGGTCACCCCCGCCCAGAGAGCTGCACGTGTTAACGTGATTTTTTGCCAAACTTGTGTCCCCCTCGAAAACAAAATCGATGGGTCTGAGAGTTTTTCCAAAAAACAAACTGAGCTGCCAGTAAATGCGTCTGTTTCATTTTCGATGCGCCTCCCTGTATGTACAGTGATGGACAAAAGTATATAAAAAATTAATATTGTGCAATATTTCTTTTTTAACTTGTTTTATTAATACACCAACCTGTATACATAACTCGTTATAGCGTATTACTCACTTATACATGAATAAATTCATTAGACTCCCTTGAATACAATTAATTGAAAAGAACTGGAACTATGAAGGACAAAAATATATAGACAAAGCAAAGCAATTATAGAGAAAAGAAGCAAATGTCATTGAATTATAGAAAACCAACCATGTTTGTGTTAATATTTTGTAGCATAACCATAATTATCAATCACCGCCTAGCATCGTCTCGGCATAGATTGTAGAAGTTTCTTGATATAAGATTCATCAATCTGTCTCCACTTTTGCTCTAAAGCGGCAACAAGTTCATCCTTGTTTGAATACTTTTTATCTCGTATTTGCTTATCTAAGTATTCCCATAGATTTTCAATGGGGTTTATATCGGGAGACTGTGAAGGCCATTTGAGAACTGGTATTTTTTCATCCAGAAAGAATTTCTTTGCGAGATTTGAAGTGTGGTTCGGGTCATTATCTTGCTAGAAGGTTGATCTTAAGGGCATATTTTCTTCCATATAGGGAAACATGACATGCTTTAGTAAGTCTGTGTATACAAACTCATCTATAATGCCATCTATTCTATGTAAAGGTCCCATCCCAAACCCCGAAAAGCACCGCCTCCATGTTTGACAGAGGGCAAAGTGTACTTGGGGTTCAATCTTTGTCCACTAGGACGTCTAACGTAATGAACACCATCTGATCCAAACAGATTGAACTTGGATTCGTCACTAAAACATACCCTCTTCCAGACACAGATGCTCCAATCAAGATGGCAATCGTGCAAATTGTAATCGGTCCTTACGGTTTTTCCTCGAGATTAGCGGCTTCTTACTCGGGCGACGTGCAAATAACTTCAAATCATTTAATCTTATACTTATAGTGTTCCTAGAAATACTCAAAATTCCTTTTGTCTCGATTTCGGCTTTTATTAAATTTGTCTTGGGGTTTTAAACGGATCTTTGGACGAAATTACTTTTATTAATCTAACTGATCTAGCATTTAGTTTTCTAGGCCGACCACTTCTGTTAGAGGCTTCCAAGATACCTTTTTGTTTATATTTGTTCAAAATATTGACAATAGCCCAAACTGCTTCACGGTTCAGCTTCAAATTGTTGGCAATGTCGACTTGTCGTTGACCATCTTTGTATAACTCAGTGATCTTAGGTTTCACATCGAAAGACATTTTTTGGCCCACGCGGCATGGTCTTAAAATCACTCAACTTATTCCACAATACTTGATGAACACAAACTCTTCTGACATGAAACTGTACTAAACTAATGTTGAAAAGAATTTGTCTATATATTTTTGTCCTTCACAGTTCCAATTTTTTTTCAATTAATTTTTTATTGAAGGGAGTCTCATGAATTTATTTATGTATAAGTGAGTATTATGCTATAACGAATTATGTATACAGATTGGTGTATTAATAAAACAAGTTAAAAAAGAAATAGAGTACAATATTAATTTGTCTGTCCATTACTGTATGTGCAAAGTCTAGGACCACGAGCATTTACTTTACTATGGCCTAAAATATCTAAAATTTCAAAATTGGAAATAAAATTCAGGATAAATGTAGCTCCTAAAACTTATCCTGTGATTGTCCTGCTGCTTAATTTCAATGTTTTTCTAGCCTTATACACATTTTAAAGAGTTTTGGCTGCCTCGGTGGCTTTTTCCAAATTACAATATTGAAATTAATTGATAATGTTTTAAAAAAAAATCAGGGGAGTTTTGATGTTGACTTCTTAATTACTCCGCCGATTTATAAAAATATAATCACAGTATTTACTATGACCTAACAGCGTATCACAGCTGCGATTCTCAAGATCATGGGGCTACAAAAAGGTTAGGAACAGACTGAGGTAAATGAGTAACTAGATTTTGTGATCACAAAACATCATTAAAAATCCTCATCTCGAATTCAAATGCTTTATGCCTGTGCTGTAATATTTGAGCCATTTTAAGAAAAAAATGATATAGTAGGAAATATAACTATGACTTACCTATCTACAGCATCATCTTGGTTAGCCTTATTTTGACAAGTCTTTGATGAGGCTGCCAAATCCAGTCTTTCCAAACGAACATAACATCTGTTCATTTTTTTCTCTTTCAACTTCAATGCCATCATGAAGTCTTGTTTCAGATAGCTGATTTCAGTTTGAACAAATTCTTTTAACAAAGGGTCACTAGGTTTTTCTTCGATCAAGTCCACGTCAGAGTCATCCAAAATACTGCTTAGAGCTCTGCAAAAATACAAATTAATGTATATATATGAAATATGTTTGTCATAGTTTGAGGAGTATAAATGGCAACACTGTGTTGCTTTTGTTCAGACTAAGGAAGAAATAATTACCCCTCATCAATGGATTCAGAATCTGACGTATCAGAGCTATCATCTACCATATTTTTGAAGATAGCCTCAGCGTCATCGCTTTCATAGTCTGACAAAGCGTCCTCGCTGTCTTCTTCAACTTTTTCCGTATTTTTTGCGTACGCGTGCTCGTCGACACCTTGCTTGCTCATTTCCACTTCCCGGAACAGCTCCAACAATTCATCTCCCAGAAAACTGGCACCATCTTGTTTGCCTTTTGATTCTCTTTCCTCGAGTTCATCGGTGTCTTCAAGGTCTGCGTCATGGTCATTCGGCTCTACTTTTACGCATACCTCCGTCTCTGAATCATATGAATCAGCGCAATCTAGAAGATGAAGAATTTATATACATACACATATATAATCTATATACAGATGAAGTACTACTAGTTCCAGCTTTTTCACATAGATGATTTAAAAATGTTACTGAACACACATAAAGAACGTGTTGGAATCTGAAAATATACTGCTTAGCTGAACTACAAGATACTCCATATGAACACATCCGCAGTTTCAAGCATGAAAAATAGTTTTCTTTCAACAGTGGTTTGACGTAGACGTACTCCGTTTTGTCTTGCAAGATTGAACGGGGTTGAAATTTATACTGATATGGTAAATGTATCAGGAAGTGATGCTTCTTCATGATCAACAGTTTTTAATCGGACATCCATAACGAGGACGTAGTAACCGCCTGAAAACTGCTGCCAATGATCATTTAATGATTCCATACACGGTGTAATTTTAGATAATAAGTTGAATAAGCACGTATGAATTTACTGAGGATGTGGACATCTCAAATGAACTTGAGTTTAATATTTTCAAATATGAATTAATACAGCTATTGGAGAGGTGTGTGTCGTATTCGTTAACTTTGAATAAGCATATTTTCAGAGATCAACTACTTTTTATGTAGACTCCAGACTCTTTTCAATTCACCTGGTATGATTTGCGCTTGCTAACCTATTTATGTATTGTTTTTACACTGTTGATTAAAATGACGATTTAACTAATTTTCGATTAAAGCTTAACTCTGTTTCTTCTAAAAAAACTGATCATACATATATGCAATCTAACCTCGATGTGAGATACCGTAATAAAAACGCATGATACGATCCTAGTTTGATGCGGTATAGTGAGCAAAAACCTTTCACTAGAAAGTTACACAATTGCTCAATTAAACAAAGTAAGCAAACAGAGTAATGTCCCGTTGATCTTGTACATTAAGAGTACAAAGAAATAAGTTATTTCATACCGCGCCACCAAAAGGTCCAGAGCTCTGCTGTAGTGTGACATGTGATCATTGATTAACGTTTTCTACCTGAAGATAGCCAATCTAATAGTATATTCGCACGTCTGAAAAATTATCCAAGATGAGATACCGTAGCGTCATCTATGAGAATTTTTCACAGCTAATTTAAAAAGTCTAATATCTAGTAGATGGCGCGGTAGCAATATGCTCGTATATAGTTGGCTACAGCGCCAGCTATGAGATACTAACGCTTTTAGATTCCTAATTATTTCAAAGAGGAGAAAGATAGCTGTGACAAATTCTCACAGATGACCCTACGGTATATCATTTCATTCCGGAGATTTTTTCGGAAGCGCGAATACAGTATTAGCTTGGATAGCTTCGGGCATCGGTTAATTAATGCATGTGACCAAGTAACATGTATATGGAAGCACAAAGTCATATGGAAATGATTGAAACGTCAACTAAGGATGAGTCTGAGGAAACTGTCCACTACTGAACAAATCCACCATCAACAGAGTGCAAAAGGGAATTATACCAGCTGTTATATATTTACCTTTGGCAGATGTAACGGTAGTATCTAGGATCTCTTCCAGAACTATATCTACAAGTTGTGTGCTTTCGCTGTCCGTGTCAATATCACATTCTGAAAATAGAGAATAATTATATCATCCTTCAAAGAAAAATAATGGTCCATTTATCTATTGAGACGTGATCATCTGATCTCTAGAATCGAATGACGACTCTTCCACAAATTGTTTATTCGTACAATCATTATGAATGCCCTGATGTACAGGTCTGCCCTGGGAACAATCTCCTTTTCTACATTCGTTAGTTTCTGGAAAATATCCGTGTGTCATCAGACCGTTGAAATCGGACGAAAAGGTCATGCGTACTCCACATATAAAAGAAATTATAAAATACTTTGTACGCGCTCAAAACAATCGTGATACGGGAGTATGTCACAGTTTTGGTAGTTATAAATACCGCATGTCCATGTGTGTGTCTAGCTCAGTTTCAGCAAACACGCTGCAAACGGCTTTTTGCAGCGCTTTTTGTAAAGTAGCTAGGAATGTCAGATATATAAAGCGGAGGTATCCGACCTCATCTGATAAAAATTGTTCATAAGGTAAGTTACGTATTCAGTACTTGTTATTTCCAAGATCGTCCAAGGACACTGCTTTGCTACTTTTGTCAATCTGCTCATGCGCACTTGAATAAAGTACTGCCTTTAATGGCATTACTGAAGAACTATTTGAAAATTAAAGATATAATTTCTGAAAATTATATTATATTGTGCTGCAGAAGGATACGCCGGATCGACTTTCTTATAAAAAAATCATCTGAAAGTCATAGACATTTTATTTTCAAACTATTTCCCAATCCGACTGTATTTACCAAATATTAAAAATCGCGAATATGCGATGATGTTTTGTCGTACTAAAAAATCGACAAATTCTACACTGATCACTAACTATGTACATAATACAAGCCACGCTTAGCAGATGGATATACTTCAAAAACAGCCTTATACAACAAGCACCTACAAAGCAAAACTATAATTGGCTTCAATGCGATATCCTATATTCTGATACTATACACCTACACACAGCGCAACGCTAAGCAGACATGCAGCCCGCAAGAACGTAGAAAAACAATATAGGACTCATATTCGGCATTCAGCATTCGAAACAACACCAGGGCGCGTGGAAGTAGGGGCTCCAGCGTCATCGCATGTATATTGAAATATAGCATAAACTCATTGTAACTGAAAGGAAATAAAGCAATATTCTAAAACTACTATACTATCAACTATAGTTGCAACCACCATTCTTGGCGGTTACGTCATCAACGCCATTTGAAATAAGTAAACAGATCGTGTCTCCGTACCATGGGCGTAACACTGCGCAGACTAATCTTCCGTGCATCTGCTACTCTCTCCAGTACACATGAAGTGGGTAACAGGGGACCGCTGTTTTTATTCTCTTCCTGGAAATACGCATTTCCGGGCATTGTGCAATTTTATATTGAGGATTGATAACAGGACAACTCGAATTGCACGCCGATGTCAAGTAAGTTGTCATCCTGACAAATATGAGTGAAGGACCCTCATACGGAACAACAAAGTTTTCGAGACGGAGACACACAGCTTACCGAACAAACGTTCACACACAGGGGTAGGTTGGGTGCCCTTCAACCATATTTGTGAGAGTGACAACTTACTTGACATCGGCGTGCAATCTGAGTTGTACTGTTATCAATCTTCATTGTAAAATTCTTCTTCATGTGTACTGGAGTGAGTAGTAGATGCGCTGGAGATTAGTCTGCACCCATGGTACGGAGACTCGATCTGTTTACTTATTTCATATGGTGTTGATGACGTAACCGCCAAGAACGGTGACTACAACTATACCATTGTATTATACCATTGATTCAAATATTCCAGCAGAAGATATTGAGTTCAATTGAACGCTGTACATGCCAATCATTTATGCTTACAACTGTACAGGGTGTCGATAAATTCATTATTGATATATTAAGGTTCAAAATTTCGGGTTTTCGAATCCGATTGTAAATAAGCTAGGTTAACCTACACATCCCACAGCACCTGATTTGGATACCGACTCAATCGTACCAAAAAACATCGTACCTGGCGACGTAGGATACACGGTCGGGCGTGGCTCACACCGAGTTTTTCGAAACTTAATATCTCGGTTATTTTAAGGCTTTGGTGTCGTGTATGCGTTACTAGGAAAACTTATTTATTGGTACCTGACCTATACACTCTGTAGAAAAAAGTCCCAAGGACTGTATACTTATCAACTAACGCTTTTAGGCGCGGGTGTTGCCACCTCTCGCACTGTTCCCAGAGATTAATTATTTTTCTATTGTTGAGTAATTCCGAGAATACTAAATTTTATGATTAATTACGGAAGACTGAGTGATGATGTTTGCTTTGAAGGCATATGTCACATCTATTACTGCATTGTACTGCAAGATGGCTGAGAAGGTGAAAATAGTTTTAGTTGAGAATCTACGTGCAGAATATGTTAATTAACTATTATAATATTGTTCACTATAATGTTAACATATGTTCTGTATGGTCACTTTTCACTGTTATTTGGAATGGTTCTCAAAGATGACATTCAAAAAGATGCGATTCTTTGTGAATCCTGGGCGATTGTGTGGTCACTAGTTCTACTCTACATTTATGCATGCAACACTAAAAATCATATAACAATAATAAAAATCGATTCTGACCTGGTACAGACTCTTCCTGTATATCAGATGTTGTAGACTCCCCATTAACTATATCTTCTAAGCCAACTCTCTGGTCACTGTGCTGCGAATCATCTTCAGTTTCCAACGCATTCCCACCACTGCTTTGCTCATCACAGATGAAAGAATCACAGTCCGATACGTTACCATCAGGTCTTGAGTCAGATACAATTTTTTCAACAGCTTTGACGTGAGAGACAATAACTGTAGAATTCTGTTGGTCCTGAGGATTTAATGTACTGTGACTATCTTTAATACAGGTTATATCTGAATCAAAATCTGTTATATTCTCTTTGTTCTGCTGACTTGCATTAAAGCTTGCCTTTTCATTATCTGCTGTAGGTGTATTACTTTCATCAGTCATTGCTTCATTCGACGTTTCGTTAACATCACGGCTAACAGTTTCTGCATCTGGAATTTCTTCAGATTGACTTGATATACCCTTTTCGATGCCTGTATCACCAGATGCTTCACACGTGTGCTTTCTAGGTTGATTTCCAATTATTATTTCACCATTCACTTCAATGTCATCAGGATTTCCAGATGTACATTCGTTTTCCCCTTTCTGCGAAGTTTCATCAATTTGACTGTCATTATCTTTCTCTTTAACCAGGATTTTATTTACCAAATGCTCTTGATCATCTTTCTCCTCCGCAGATGTGTACTCTTCTACAGCATGTGTTTCGAAATCCTTTTTTAAAATTCCTTCTGTAGCCGAATCTTCTACATCATCTTTCAAATCATCTTCTTTTTTCTCGTTTATACGGACACCTGCAGGTACATGATCAGGGTCAGGTTCCTTTCCATTCTCTAATCCGGACTCATTTGAACTATCGTCGATTATAATGATATCATCCAAAAGGGATGCTTTTAGGGATTCTTTTATGTTATCATCTTGTAATATCGTATAATCATCAATATCCAGAACATCTTCGTCTGAAGGTTCTTTTTCATTATTCTTTTCCTGAATCTCAGATTCCACATCTTCCATATGATCACCATCTTCACACATATTACGCTTTTCTGTGCCTTCTTCCCAAATCTTCTTGTTTTGCGATCTATGATCATCAATGTTATTCCCCTGAATGTCAGCCGCATCAGGTAAGATATGCGTCTGTTCTTCCAAAGTACTTTCTACATTAATAGCGTTATCCACAGATGATACATCTTGATCTAGGTCGAGACTGAGTATATCTGTCTCAATTTGACTGTGTAGTGCAATTTCCTCGCCGTTCTCAGTGTTTTTAGTGTTCGAATGCTTCAGTATTTTCTCTTTCCTTCGATCATTTGGAGATATGATTACATTTGGTTGAATGGCCTGCTCATCAGCTGGGTTATGCTGTGGAGAGCGATGTGTCGTCTCTTGGCTAGAGGATGCATCACTTTTCGGAGAATCAACAGTTTCAGGCGCTATAGTCTCTTCTGAGTCCCTAATGCCTGATTTTTCGTTTTCTTCCTCGGGTTCTTCATTAGTTTCATTGACACTTGGTGGCATTTCTCCAGTAGGTTCATCAATTAGATGCCCATTGTGATTAGCAGATGCTTCACTTATCGGAGAATCAGTAGTTTTAGGCACTATAGTCTCGTCTGAATCATTGAGTATCTGATTTTTCGTCACCTTCCTCAGCCTTTTTCTTGGTCTCAAGGACACTCGGTGACATTCCTTCGGTAGGTTCATTTATCAGTTGCCCACTCTGTACAGGGGATGCTTCACTTTGCGGAGAATCAGCAGTTTCAGGTACTGGTCCAGACTTTTCATTAGTGTCATTTACGCTTGGAGATATTTCTACAGTAGGTTTGGCGATCAAATGTTCATTTACATCAACTGAGTCTTGAAACCCTGATACCATTTTTTCAGAAACTTCCTCAGTTTTGGTTGGTGCTTCATTTCGGTGTTCGCCATTTTCTTCAATTTTATCAGCGGTGACATCTTGTGTTGGTGGTAGTTCCGTAGAGTCGCCATCTGCGAAAAAAATAACAGAACTGAATATTCAATCCACAAAAGATGCATGCAGTCCTATGGCCACGGCACATACAGGGTGTACAAAAATGAATCATAATGTTGCAGGTGCAAATAAGGCATAACCTACTACGAGTATATGACAAAATTTTGTTATAGCAAAAGTCTGATATTTTTCAAGATGTTCAACACTTTTTTTATGAAAAACTTGCCCGCCATGAGTTAATCTCGTCTCATTTCTATGAATATCAACGTTATCGAACGAGTTTATTTTGAAACAATCACAATTATGTATTTCATCCCACCCTGCATTTTTTCTTGAGATGGCAATAGGCCACATAGAATTACTTCAAAACCTACATTTTAATGAAGACCCGCTCCTACGGGTGATATTGAGACCCGGTAGTGTGAATTAAGTATAATCACCGTGACAATTAATCCAGAAAGTTACTTGACTATTAACAATTTCTAATTGACATTACTTATTAATTTTCTTTATGAAAGTATGTGTTAAAAATGACCACCATTTGTTGCTAAACATGCATTTTTTCATAAAACGTCTTATTAAACTGCACGAATAACCATTTTATTACCAAGATGAGTTCAGCTAGGTATGCAAAGTCTCCAAGGCAACTCTAATAAAAAAATAGCGAATTCAAGTCTAGCTTCATCAGTTCATAAAAGATTGTGTTCAGCACAAGCTCGTCTGAACTAGCTAGAAACATGTATAACAAAATAATTATATGGATTAAGTCAGTCAAACAGGCCCATACAAGTAGTCCATACTCCATAGTCCCCACACATTTGATAACGCCAACGCTAGTTTCTTCCCTGATCTAAGTTTCGATTACCTGGCAACAGTGCTCAACGATACTAGTCAACCACGTCATCAAAAAATGAGATATACCCTTTCCACCGCTATAACCTACGATGTACAATTTTTTTTTCTGAAAATAATCAGGAGCCCCTAGAACATCAAAAAATGAGCGATACTTTACGTGTTTTTGCCCTTAGCTCGGCTGCTACAGGGCATAATTTTAAAAACTGCAAACGTTTTTCGTCCTTGGCATAGTAGTACCTTGTGTGAAAATTTCATCAAATCCGAGCAGTTATAGGCGGTTCAAAGATTAGCCGACAGCCAGACGGAAATAAATGGCATGGTTTTTCGTAATGTACATGTCGTTTAACATCCAAAATTCATAATATCTCGTTTTCGAAATCTTTCGCTATTACAATACATCGTCACCAGTATAAGTAAAAAGTGTAAGGCAAGAGCGAATGGTGGCCATTTTAAAAACAACTTAATTAATTTAATGTCAAATAATCATTAACATTAATCCTGCCTTTTATTTGTATCCATGTAATAAAAAATAGCATAATAAGTAGGTTGACTTTGCACGCAACGCTGTTATCAGATCAGTTCATGAAAGATTATGTTTGGCACAAGTTAGCCCCTTTGAGAAAAAAAATAAATACGAACAATTAAATAGATCAAGTCATGGGGAACAGGCCCATGCACTTGGTCCCCGGTCCCTACACATTTCATAAGGAATGGCAACGTTGCATCAGAATTGCGATAAGTAAACCGTCAGCGGCAACCCCGCTAAGGTTTATATCCTATTTTCGTTGCGCTGCGAAACGTTTCACCGTCTTGTAGGCCACGCTTAAACAATACATTTATATGGGGCACAGTATACCGGTCGAAGCACTGAGCGTTGAAAACGCTCAAGACATTCGAGTGTTCAATAGTTTTGAATTCTTCTCACATCCTTGTCACCTATTTAACATAATCTGTTCGATTCGAAAAGATTAATTGTCTGATATTGCAATAAATGAACTTGACGGAAAGAACGTAGTCGCTTTTAAAAGTAAAGAAAGGTTGTGTATTAAAATCTTGTTTCCAAAGGGTGCAAGTAGCCAAAGCTTTGTTTCAAGACAAAGCGTTTCGATCTGTTTGCGGTCGGCCAGTAGATGAAAACATTTTATATAGAAAATATTTCATTCTAAATCTTAGGGTAGTGACCACCAACCAAAAAAATGCACAGCTAAATTAGTATTTTGCTGAAAATATACGAAATTCGTGGTGAAATTGGTTCGGTATACGAATGTAGTAGAACCATGTAGTACCAGTATTAAAACTATCATCTCATTATTAATATACAGGGTGTGTCCAATAAGTAATAATAATAATAATAATATTTATTCACTCAATGTACAAAGATAACAAAAAATATGAGTAAATAAATATAAAATCTAAACAGGCCCAATAGAAGTAATAAAGTACCACGACAACCTTAAGGAGAAGGTAGACTTTGGACTGACCCCCCAAATAACAAAATCTTACCTATATAAAAGTGTCACCGTTTTTGAGAGTTTTTCTTAAATTTAAAAAAAAACGAACCTTTTCATCTGTGGTCTTTAGCTGCATGTACAAATAAGGTTATACTTTGTTGATTTTTCCTATAAAATACTTCTAAATAGTTGCTTTATCATATATAGAAATGTAATGTAGTTAATAGATATTAAGAAACCATGATCAAATAAGGACTATTTTGATATTTTTTCCTCAACTTTGACCATCGATGGTGAAACAAATAAAACTGCATTATATTGAATAAAAAGATTGCGCATTGAATACAGATTTCAGAAAGGCACCACACGTACTATTTCTAATAGAAAAAAGTGATAGCTGCTTTTGTGAGTGACTGACACACACTATAATGTAATTATTTTATTTAAATTCAAGTTGCACTGGTTACCGATCAGTGACATGCTAAATAGTACAAAGCTACATTATTATTACATGCTCCTGATATGATTTTATGAAAATTACTGAAATTCGGACTCGAGTCAGTAACAATACAAAAGAGTTATTTTTGTAAAGGACGGGTTAGCGTGAAATAAAGCACAAATTGTTTGTGAAACAAATTTATTCATTTATTGAAAAATATATAATACTAGCTCGGCATACCTTATTTGTACATGCAGCTAAAGACCATAGATGAAAAGGTTCGTTTTTTTTTAAATTTAAGAAAAAATTCCATATCTCAAAAACGGTGACACTTTTATATAGGTAAGTTTTTGTTATTTGGGAGGTCAGTCCAAAGCCTACCTTCTCATTAAGTTTGTTGTGGTACTTATTGGACAACCTATATACAGAAGTCCTGAGGCTGCCAAAATAATACATTTTCATCAACCTACTAATAGGTACGTATAATTACCGCAGTTAGAAGCATATAAATACATTAACGCTAAAAAATAAATGAGCGTTTCGCGTCTTTTTTCTTTTTTGCCGTAGCTCCGCGGCCTCTGGATCGCTTTTTAAAACCTTGGCATAGCGGTGTCCTTGAATAAAACTTTCATTAAAATCCGAGTCGTGCTTTACCAATTATAGAGTGATCGACGATTTGCATACACATAGACAGACCAACAGAAATCCAACAAGCATTTCGGGATTTACAATACCTCCTCGATCATTGACATGGGAAGTAGGTTAGGTTAGATTTCTTGTGAGTGCATCAATAACGATCCTCCACTGCGACTCTTTGGTCTATTGTGGCTCACACCTATTTATATTTCCCCCAGTAGCTCAGATCTCCTGAGGAAGTCGATTAACTTGTTTGAACAAATATCCTTCAGGTCTTCTGCTTGAAGTACTACGTCAGTATGTTGTACCTGATTGTGGCAATTGCAGGGCATCTGCACAATACATGCCTGACCGTTTCATCTCCCTCCATGCACAGTCTGCACTGATCTTCTTCCGCCATGCCCAACCTGCTCATGTGGTGACGCAATTTGCAATGGCCGTCCTACGAGAGCTTTAAGGGTATTCCTGTTCAGCCGTAGCAAAGAGTCTGTTACCTTGTTTGTCAATATTGGTATAGTTGCCTTAGCCTGGGTTAACCTTGCTAATCCCTTCCAGTATTGATGGACCTTTCTGTCCATCTCTGCAGAGATTATTTGTTTAGCAGTATTGTATGCGATCCCAATCCCTGGCTAAGGCCATATGAAGGGAGTCCTAGCCCCACTCTTTGCCAGAGTGTCAGCTGTCTCGTTTCCCTCTAGACCTGTGTCCTGGTATCCATTTGAGACAGACTTCATTTCCCTCCCGTATGTCACCGAGAGCTCCTTTGCCATTCCGCACTAATTTCGATGTCGAGTACGTGGAGTCAAGTACTTTAAGTGGGGCTTGACTATCTGAAAAAATAATTCTAGTTCTGTGTCTCAGTTGTCGTTCTGCGATCATTCTGTCACCCAGTTCTATAGCATATAGCTCTGCTGGAAGATCGATGCCCAGGTTCCTAGGCTAACAGATTTGTTAATCTTTAGCTTCGGCACGAAGATACCAGCTAAGCTGACCTATCTCGGTCTTAGAGTCATCTGTGTGGAATTGTCACTGAGGACATGGGAAGTAACACAGACTAGGAATAACACCATATAAAAAATGTCGTTAACCAACCAACTTTTTGGACTAACTAAACATGGCGATCAGGCAAGACGTAAGAATTTCTTTAAAAGTTAGACTTTAGAATAACCTTCGTCATTCATTTTTTATTTATATTGGATATTTCAAATTCTCATTTTTCAGATAAAAAAATGACGTCAAGTAGATTGGCTCTATACTTCCCACGCATTCGAAACAACTCCTAGTATAAGTTAGCTTATATACAGGGTGTAAACGTTATGGTAGTCATTATTGAAATGGGTAATAGGGGGGTCAGAACAAGTCAAAAAGTTTAAGTGCGACCACAATCACCACAATCTTACTAATTTTTATAATCTAATCTAAAACGTTTTTAAATTGGGTAATCAACAAATAAATGGCATTAAGTTTTTCTGAGTTTAGCCAAAATTTGTAGTCAGTAAGTTTCATTAAATTAAATATTTAAAACACACATGGCAACAGCGCGTCGGTCATTATAACAGTGGTTAGTTATTGTTCGCGTAAGTCGTCGTGTTTATTTATAATGTTCTCGAATCAAGAGTTCGCCGAAATGTTGTTA